ACTTCCATTTTCCTGTACGACAGATAGCAGCAAAACGTTCACGCTGTAAGACACCACAAACTTATCAGGGACTTAAATTACCCTCAGGGGGTTAGTAAAAAATAAAAAGGAATAAAGTGCAGCATTGAGTAGTAGTAAATGTCACTTATATGAATACAGCCACACTAGTTCATGTAGCAATAATGTATCCGTGTTACAGAATGTCCATGAGTTTGGAATCCTCTTCTTCTGTCTGCTTGTTTGGGTTGAAATGATGTGGACTGAGGTTTGGATGACTTTGGAAAACATTCTAGAGGGATATAAAAAAAATAAAAAAAAAGTCACATGTAAGCTCAAGCTATCAAATTCTTTAAGTGTGAATTTTATTATTTTATATGGTTTAAGGAAATCTAAGCACCACAACCACATATTATTGGAGTGATTATGATGCACACGGTCTATCGGAGCCATTTATGACACTGGTAATGAGGAAGCTAATTTTAATGATATAAACCTGGACTGACAAACCATGCAATGCTAGCTGTGTATCAATGCTGTGTAAGGTTGGCCAGATAATGCAGAAGTGAAAGTCATGCATTGTTTGAGCAGGAGGCTAGGTTAAGAGCTATGTTTTTATCACACTATTCAAATTGCTTGACAGACCACTTTGTAGTACAAAAAGATTTTTTTTTGCACCATAATCACTATAATAAGCTGCAGCCATAGGACAATGCAGACTTCACATGCGGAAACATCACAAAGCTACTGTTTCTATATTTAAATATAAAAGTGACTCCTAAAAGGACATTATTATATTATTTTAATGACCCTTTTAATCCCACCTGACATTGTCTTGTGTCTGCCAACATACACTAGTTAGATATTTTAGTCAATATAATTTGAACACAACCACCTTTAAAAAACAAAAAAACAAAATGTCTTCACATGAAAATTTTAGTGGCCAGATGTATTAAACATACAGAATCAGTTTAGTATTTGGCTTTGGTATGGTAATACCTCTATTTCAGAAGATTATTTGCAATATATGATGCAAGGAAGAAAATTATTTTCTTCTAAATGCAATTCAATGCAGACACTGTTGTGGAGATATAACCAGAGGCTTCAGTCAGTACAACAGCCCACTGACACAATCCCAGTGTAATTTATCAAACTGTTTGAGCACAATTGACAACTTACCTAGATGCTACCAATGGCCAAAACCCCTGCTTCTGAAATTCTCCTTTAACCCCTTAAGGACACATGTCATGATTCCCTTTTATTCCAGAAGTTTGGTCCTTAAGGGGTTAAGAGAATCCAGCAGAGCCACTGCTGAGAGAAAATGAGCATGCTCCTGCATTGGCTGTGCTTAGCTTTAGACAGGCACCCAGCTTCTCCTGTTGCAAGTGCCCAGGTTAAGTGACCAAACCATTCTAACATACCTTAACAAATTACAGAGAGACTGTACCAGGGCATTCCTGTCACCATAACCACAACAGTAAACTGTAGTGTTTAGGGTTGCTGGAGTTTCTTTTTCAACACACTGCTGTTAATTCACTAAGCTGGTAAATGTGGGGGATTGTAGCTCAACTGAAAACCATTCTCCATCTCACATATCCCAGTCAATTTTCAGTTCACTAAACAAACACAAGTGAGCGTGTGATTTAAGAACATGTGGAGAACCAAGGTTACATTGCTGCCTTAGAGAATGTTAATTTGCTATGCCCAGACGTGAATATTACTATACATAGAAACAGGTTTTATTTAGTGCTTGAACATAAATTCTGGTTCAGCCCGATTACACATTTGAATTACTGCTACCAAAGAAGTCATGAAAATACAAACTCTTTACACTTTTAGACAAAATTATTCCTTCTCAATATCAAAGTATCAGTCAGGCTTCAGTAAAAAGTATTCATTGAACGGATTATAGTGTAATTATATATAAGCTGAATTTTTTTTAGAAAACACAGAAAACAGACCGTTTTAGAACAAATTACATATGTGAATATAACAGTTGTTAGAGGGTGAAAAACATATACATGAGCAAAACCTACAATGGTAAAACAACCTACTTGTTGATGGCACGGCTGTAAATACATGTCAGGAGAAAATGATGCATTCTGGAACACTGCGGCTTCGTATCTTTGGGATTCAGCATGCATGCGAACTTTTGATTTAAATACTTCAAGTTCACTTTTAAAGGCTTCTAAATATCCTTCTTCCTTTGTCTAATTATTACAGTAGACACAAAAATAATTGTTTTGCGTGAATCAAAAGTGTATTAATGGATCATAAAGAAATGCAATTTTGCTCCAGAACAGTTACATCCATGTATTTGTTTAATTCATATATTAACTAAAAGTTTAACTGCAAGTTTATATAAATTAACAAAAAAATAAAAGAAAAAAATATTTGTACACAAAAAGCAAAACTGTGACTTATTTTTGTAAAAGGAAACATTAAATGACTAAGCAGGGGATGCTGCAGAAAAAAAAAGTTATAAAGTGATGAAAATGCAAATATTGAAATCTACTTAAGTTTTCATTATTTTTCTGATTTTAACACAAACACTCACTTTCTCTCAGTCTCTATATCATTTTTTTTTCTCTTCAGAAATAGGGTATTGCATTGTGAATTCTTGGGATTATTACAGTAAAAGAAAAGAGTCAGATATACGCAGCTGCTTGCCAGCCTTCTACCACGGGTGTTCCAACAATTAGCACGTTCTCTCTCCTCGGACAGCTGCTTGAAAACCGTATCTTTCTTGCATAACATTCATAATGAATTGTGTTTTTCACAGACTATTCAAAGTGGACTTCCTTTCAGTTTAAAAACCCTATAAATGTTATTACTATTGTTATATATTACTGTTGATCTAGCTAGACTGTCTTGCCAAATAAAAGAAAATAAAATCTCGGCACAGCAAAATAAGTGATACAATGCTGGTTTATTCAGTCATCACAGAATGGCAATGTTTTGATGTGAGAAGTGTCTTTCTTAAGCCACAAAAAATGTGCAAACATGCCGTCATTGCTCATATGAAGACTCAATTAAAAAATAAGGTCTTGATTTATTTCTTCAAAATAGGCATACAGTGCATTGTTGCAACCACATAACTGGTGAAAAGGGAGAAATGGAGTTGTAATATCTCCTACATTCAAACTGCAGGGGGTGTACAGAAAACAGAAAAATAGCAAAAGTGTATGCATTTTACATATAACTAGACCAGTGATAGGCAACCTTCAGCACTACAGTAGCCTGAAGTAGACGCGTCCTCAGCTATGAAATATATTAAAACAAACTGTGCTTTAAAATTCACTGGGTGGACTTACAAATGGGGTGGGGGGTGGGTGATCTTTAGTTAGGCAAATGATGGTCATTGTACTATTAGATTTTTATTGAATATATATAAAATGTATATATTTCTATAAGCATTTAAAAAGAAACATTTGCTGTATGCACAAGGATGCATTATTGCATGGAATGCCACCAAGTTGTTTAGCATTATGGTGTGTTGCTGAACATATGTAGATCCTTCGTAATAATAATGATGTCTGTTATTTTTTCCAATATTTTGTTTGCTATATATCACTTTAAGCATCACAGTTATTGTCTATCTGTATTGCAATGTCACTTTAAGACAATATAAATGTTAATTTCGCAAATCACCTTCATGATGGTTTAAAAGCATGAATCTTTTGCACTGCTCTGTGATTGGTTTGTCAATCAATGTTCACTAATATAATATTAAGTATGATGAACATTTCTATGGTTTGAGAAAGACATGGTGCGCCGAAACGACCAAGTAAATCACCATTATACCACTTATTGTGCCGAGTGCTGGGATTTTGGTTTCTTTTATTATTATTTCAAAGTCTGTTGGAACAAGGACTCCATGTGTAACACAATCTACCAACATAGGTAATTACACTATATTACACAATATTCTGCCACTTTAATGATCAACTTTCAAGAGTTTTTACCCACCACTTTTGCTTCTGAAATAAAAATATAAGAAGAAAATGAGAAGCCACAGATATATATTGTGCATCAGGCCACATGATGCCTTTCCCATTAGACCAATGGCAAATGGTATGGCAAGGCAAATGGACGTTTTTTTTTGTTTGTTTTTTAAACTTTCATTTATCACAAGCCGACTGGTACATAACAAAAAGAAGTCGTTAGTGTATCCTACATTTGACTGCAATATACATACCCTTTTTACTAAAGTTTGTAGCTGTATGAAGAACTCAGTGCCATTTCATGTCAATATTTGTGACCACTACAAAGTTGGTCATACAGCTAACACTGCACTAGCAGCACAGGATGCATTGTCACTTATTTTTCACCTTATTCAATAAAAGGTTATATCACCAATAGGGATCGACCGATTATCGGTCTGGCTGATATGATCGGCCGACATTATGTATTTTCAGCAATATCGGTAAATAAAGATACAGATATTACAGACAGTTACTAACCACTGTCCCCACTACCACCACTCCCCTTCCCCGACCAAGACACACATAGACTTGGAAACTAGAAAAGACATGCAGAAAACACGAAAAATACAAACTATCGACAGACGAAATCCGCAACTACACACACGAGACATGACCACCTCAGACACTACAAGGACCGAAAGTCACTCGCAATATGACACAAGTACTCAAATAACCAAGCTTTTCTACTGTACCTACAAGTGTTTACCAGAATTGTAAAACAAGTTGTGGCTTACGCATCATAATGGTTTTCTATTGGCAATTAACCAAAGAAGTGCCTACTGCCTTGTTACTCACTATTAAACTTACAACCTGCACAAAATGTATGAAGAATGTAATGAACCCCCACCCTCTCCCACTTTTCTTCTGTACCCCCACCCCCACCTAAAATCAAAACCTTTGATACAAATAAAGAATAATAATTAAAAAAAATGATTAAAATATTGCCAATAATGCAGACCAGGGGTGCCATCAGCGTCTTGGGGGGCCAGCGGCGGACCTTACTTACCTTCCAAGGAGCTCCCCTGTCTAACTTTCGCGAGTCCCGCGGCCGTCAGAGCATTGCCACGGGTTACCATAGCAATGCTCCGCGTGGCATGCAAGCCCCGAGAGTTAGACAGGTGAGCTGAAGGGAGCTGCTGGGAAGGTAAGTAAGAGGGTGCTGGGCCCCCTCTGCACAGTCCATGCCACCGGACCACCAGGGAATGACATATCCCCCCTCCCTGGCCAGGTAAGATGCAGTGAGTGGGGACTAAAACATAATTAAAATTATTTTTTTTTTAAATGCACTACACAAGCACACACACACACTGCATTCACTACACAAACATTCACTACATCCACTACAATAACATACACTGCATCTACTAATCAAATACTCTCACTGCATCCACTACACACACACATTCTTGAAAACATAAAAAATTCTGACTGGCATGTATATTGTGTGCACTGACTTTATTTAAAAAAAAAAAAAAAAAGATTTACAAAAAAAGAAATAAATAATAAACATGTTCAGCTAACAGTAGATTTGTTTAGAAATAGTGTATTTTTTTTTTTTAAATGGTAAATGTATAGAATATCGGTAAGTTATCGGCTATCGCCCTGAAAGTTCACAGATTATCGGTATCGGCTCTAAAAAAAAAAAAATCAATATCGGTCGATCCATAATCACCAACTACTTTTATTGAATACGGTCTAACACTTGGTTGTTGTGCAGTAATGATAATAATAATAATAATACATAAATAAAAATACAAAATTACTACTTACTCTGGCTTTTTGGAAAAACAAACGGAAACATCCTCTTGGATCCACATTACCGTTCTTTGCAATTTCAATAATAAACTGCATTACAACTGCTTGATGTGCCACTTGTTCCATAAGTGCTGTTTTCTGTAATGGTAAGAAAAAAAAAAAAGCAGAGATTCCATTAAAGCAGACTTGACATTCTATGATCAGTAAGCTATGTTTTAAAGTAAAAGATGCTTCAAAAACAGCTTTGCAGTGAAGGCAATTAAGTGCACAAGCAGTGTAATTATAGAGAAGTTGGACTCTGCAGTTACACACATTTTGTTGGACAAATTTGTGCAATTTTACTTCTCTATTCACAAAAAATAAGCAAGCTGAAACTGCAAACCTAGCCACTACACTTACTTCTATGTGCTCCCATAATATGTTTTCTATGAAACAATTAGCATCTATACACTAGATACAGTGGAAGCAAAAGGCTGGGGAGGTATCCACCTCAGAGACCATCGGGGATAAAGTGGAAACTAACTTCACTAAAGAGAGAATTTTGCTGGGATTTTAAATTCGAAGACCAAAAATGCCAAACTGAAAACAGAATTGACGTGAAGAATTGTTATTTTTTGCAGCATTGTGAAAAATGAAAATGAATGAGAACATGATCTCGCATGAAGGAAATATGCTACTCCTCTGACCAGAGGTAGAATTTTGAAATTTGGAGGACACAGAGGTTCAAGGCTAATTGCAAAACCAAGGACAAAAAGGAGAGAGAGATGAGCAGAGAAAATAAAATCCATTACTACTGTTTGACCCAGTGGTACTAGAAAAAATGTCTCCATTTTTATTGTTTTGTTTTCAATGTCTGTCTGAGATGCACAGAATTGCATATTTGTAATATTATCTTATTTATGATGAATATAGCATAAAAAGGGTATTACTTTAAAGGGACTTATCAGTAATACAAGGCAAAGTCCCAATTCCATCCTATTAATTTTTACTCAAGTCTATAAAGATTTATATACACTGACCTAGAGTGAGCAGATGTTTGAAGAAAAAAAAAAATTAGTATGCAAAATCTATTTCCGAGTACCCACTCTAATCTGCCGAAAGAGAAGAGTATTCTGTGACAGATTAGGTTTCAGTAAGTGGACATATGAACACATGGAATTGTGGGTAAAGAGAGAGTTTAAGAATGTGATCACCGTCGACATGTAGAAGAATTGCAACAGTTTAATATTAATTATTACTATTGGCATCTATATAGTGCTAACATATTCTGCAGCACTTTCACATTTTGATGTGGGGATATATCAGGAAATAGGAAACAAACTAACAAATGTTAACAAGTAACTAAAGATTGAGGACCCCGCATGAACAAGCTTAAAATATTTTATATACAACTTTATACAGCCATATATTTGTACACCATATCAAAAGATAGTTCTTCAGTGTATGATAAAGAAATTCAGACAGCATGTGTGCTTTATTACACTTCTCTCAGTGTACATCTCTCTCCCACACAAAAATGACTCCGATTTTAAATAATCTGTCCTTATATTAATCTTGTGCAGATATGATTATTCATGATATAGCCTTTTGCACTCATCAGATTCACAATATAATACAATTACAGAAACAGATTCCAATTATACCTGTGGTGTGATAGTACCTGTTCACTTTCTAAATGGTAACACCACAAACGGAGATATTGAGCTGTTTCCTCACATACAAGATCTGGATATTCCGACAGAAAAATCTGACTATCATTCCATCTACTGAGCATGCCTAGAAAACAAACAAACAATAATAGCGCTATAATTAGAGATGTCACTTCAGCCAGGATGCTTGTCAGAACTATATAGGTTAGCAGAGGAGGTGAAAAAGGAACATAAGCATTTCTGTTTTAAAGGATCACTCCAGGCATCATAACCACTTCACCCCAATTAAGTGGTTATGGAGTCTGGAGCTTCCTGGAACCAGCATACCAGTGTTAACCAGCCTTCAAATTGTTTAAAGGACCACTATAGGCACCCAGACCACTTCAGCTCAATGAAGTGGTTTGGGTGCCAGGTCCCTCTATTTTTAACCCTGCAGCTGAAAATATAGCAGTCTCAGAGAAATGGCTATGTTTACACTGAGGGTTTATCCAGCCTCTAGTGGCTGTCTCACTGTTATATAAAAACCCACAGAAATTAAAGGGACATTGATTTTGTTGTAACTATGAAGAAGTTAAACCCATCAGGTATCTGCAGGTTTGTACCACTTCAAGAAAAAATTATGCAAATAGCTAGATCTACATGACATATTTAAATATACATCTATTTGCCAACAGCAATTTAAAGGACCACTAAAGTCACCCATACCACTTCATCTCAATGAAGTGGTCTAGATATAATTGTCCTGTTATTTTAACCCTGGAATGTAAAACATTGCAGTTTTGTAGAAACTGCAATATTTAGATTGTAGGGTTAAACACACCTCTAGTGGCTGCCCTGCGTACAGCCACTAGAGGTACAGCCACTCGATCACATGAGGTTACAGGTAGTAGGAAATCATTGAATTTAATGCTTTTCTATGAGGAGCATTGGATTGGTTATCGGCTTGAGTGCTGGATGATGTTGCAGGAAGCAGAGCGGCTGGCAGCGCTGAGTAATTTTCAGCACTTGAGTAAGGACAAGTAAAAACCTTGTTCAAACAAACATGGATTTTTTTTTCTTTTTATAACCGGGAAAAACAGTCACTGCTGTGATGCCTTTATTATCTTTTTATCTCATTACCTCACCAAGTAATTTCCTCAAGCAATCAATTATTTTTACAGGGGACTCTCCATAGGGCATCTTACATACATCTCTTACTAAATCTCAACTTTTAAGCGCCTTTCAAAATAAACAAATAAAACACACATGATGGAAATATTCCATTGTGACTCCCTTTTATTTCTGAAACATGCACTGACTTCATCCCTGAAGTTTTTATTACATGGTACATATATCATATACAGATATGCCAAAAAACAAAACAAAAAAACAATTTATACTTTATACTAGTTTATATGTCCCGTCTATTATTTCTCCAATATATAGTGGAAAGTTGAAGTTGCATATGTGCAATTTCCTACAGACGTTTACTTACTGACCATTTAACTTGTATTCTACTATTCTTCACAAAATGAAACTATTATTTGAAATAAAAAAATAATAGTAATTACAATTTCCATAGTTATCAAGAAAACATGACATGCAAAGATGTAGTATGCATTGCAGAATGTACAAGATTGAAGGCATACCAAAATGTCGAATTTTATCTTCATATTTCTGAATAAAACTTCTAGGCTGATCTTCATCCTTCCTATTTTTCACATGATTAATAAAGCTCTGATCAATGGGAAGTAAAAAACAGAATTAGTTCCTAGAAAAATGATTTAACAGTGTATTGTGTATTATTAAAGTGCATCAGGCTTAGCATTAGATAACAGATCTGTAACAGGTTTTTATGCATCTCTTTCAGTTTGTATTTGTTCAGTTTCCATAATTTCCTCTCGCATGGTTTAATTCACCAACATTAAAATCAACAGGGTTTGTTCACTGTACACCATGAGGTGAATTAAATATGTATTAGCAAAATGTAAGCAAAAAGTGTTGATTAAGAAATAAAAATACCGAGCTATAGTCAGAACACCATATTTGGTGTCTAGTGGATGAATACACACTTATATATGTACATACACATAAATCTGTTGAATAAAAAATACTGGTCTGGAACTACACTACAATTTTATTCTCTATGTAATGGAAAGTATGCAGATAATTTTGGCATCCTCCTTAACAATGCTATGTTTTTTAATACACTGAGCACGTACTGCTAACAGTTGGCAGACCTATTTATATGCTTTTGGGAATTCACATGTGGTCAATACTATGCTCTATGTTGCACAATCTAGTTTAAATTTCTCGGTCTGAATTTGATGTTAAAGGACCACTATAGTGCCAGAAAACCATACTCGTTTTCCTGGCACTATAGTGCCCTGAGGGTGCCGCCAGGCTGGATGGAGAGGAAGGGGTTAAACTTACCTCTTTCTCCAGCGCCAGGCGGGGAGCTCTCCTCCTCCTCTTCGGCTGAATGCGCATGCGCGTCAGGAGCCGCACGCGCAGCCAGTCCATAGGAAGGCATTCACAATGCTTTCCTATGGACGCTGGCGTCTTCTCACTGTGATTTTCACAGTGAGAAAAGCGGAAGCCCTCTAGCTGCTGTCAATGAGACAGCCACTAGGGGCTGGATTAACCCTTACATAAACATAGCAGGTTCTCAAACTGCTATGTTTATAAAAAAAAAAAATGGATGGACCTGGCACCCAGACCAATTCATTAAGCTGAAGTGGTCTGGGTGCCTAAAGTGTTCCTTTAAAATTCAGCCTTTGGTGAATAATCCTTGTTTTTAACTGAGCTACACCGCAGACATTTACATTTAAAAGGCAACTGCCACTTACCAGGATTTTTAATATTATGCTTAACTTAAATGCTAAAGCTCTACATTTAACAAATATGTATAAGCGAAGTGTGAAAAATAAAATACAGAAAACCACAACTTCCTACCATGCAAATAAGTGTTTCAATCTTAGCTCCTGGTCAATCATGATTAAAAAAATCTGTCCTTTGTACCCTGGCTTTGCCTTGTCTTAACTGGATCATGATGCAATCTCCTAAATTTTAAAGGGACACTATAGTCACCCAGCTCAATAAAGTGGTCTGGGTGCGATGTCCCTCAGGTTTTAACCTGACATGTAAAAATAGCAGTTTCAGAGTTTACATAGCAGGGTTAATCCAACATCTAGTGGCTGTCTTCCTGACAGCCGCTAGAGGCGCTTCTGCGACACTGGATGCGAAATTCGCATCTAGCGTGCAGAACGTCCATAAGAATGCACTGAGAAATGCTTTCCTATGGACTGTTAGAATGCGCATTCTGTTCCACTCGGGAGCTGACGTCGGCGGGGGAGGAGAGGTCACCAGTGCCGAGGGAGCCCAGCGCTGGATTAAGGTAAGTGGCTGAACAGGGTTTTAACCTCTTCAGCCCAGTGGGAGGGGGACCCTGAGTGTGAGGGTCCCCTAAAGATTATATAGTGTCAGGAAAACGAGTTTGGTTTCCTGACACTATAGTGATCCTTTAAGTATACATGTAAAGGAACACTCCAATGATTTTTAATTTTTTTGAAAACAATTTAGTAGACATAACCCCACCGAAAACACGCATGTATTTTTTCTGCATGTTTTCTTTGGGGGGATAGCTTTAAAAAAAACACAACTTGCAAAGGTCGTAGACCTGTGCCAGGGAATGTACCAGAGACTACTTGTTGAGCCACAAGCGCACACACATTGCGGCTTTCCTATGCCTCTCAATAAGTTGTAGTATAGCACACTGATACGGGGGAAAGGCAGGTGTGCTCTAGCCCAGAGTACCTGCCACTTTGTAAACTCTATGGAGCTAATGGAATCAGAACAAAGGTGTTTCTGACCCCAATTCTAAAAAAGTGTTTTCTACTGAAATTGTCACTTCTGTAAACTGCCAAAAATGTGAAAGACTCCCGATACATACAGCACATTGTACAGTCTGGTGTAGTGGTTATATACACATTATATAAAAAAGTGTTACGTGATTTATAAAGTTTTATCCAACCATGTCAATTCTGGAAAAGTGTCAGTATCAGACAGATGATATGTGTGCCTATACTTATTTCCAAAATGCCTAGTATATGACTATATTTTACTGGAATACATGAGCATAGGGATCAGGTAAGCCTGGAAAGAAAAGCAACATACATTCAAATACACGTCATTGTAAGATCACTAGTGTCAGAATGTCTGGCACTCTGTTTCTAAATTCCTTTAGCACGTTCAAGGCACACTTACTAGAGGTTTAATCAAAGAAGCTGCTGTAAATGTATTGTATTGTAGTTGCTGAGATAGAGAAGGAGAACTACTCATAAAAGACTAAAGCTGCTCTCCTTGGTCACACATTTTTTTGGCAAAGAAAGCTACTCGGTTGGCACAGACTTCTGTGCCGACAACAGATTGACAAGTGTGGGAGGCACCACGTTTTCATCACATGAAAACATTTGCAAGCGTTTCTGATAGCACAATGCATGGATACATTTTAATATCAGAAAGTGTGTTCTGTATACTAACAGTTACACTTGGAACTAAATGTTTACATGGCATTGAAACAGTTAGGTACCTTATTAAAAACATCTTGACTACGGAAATCTGAAGCGGACAGTCCCCAGGTTTCAGTAGGAGGTAAAGCTGCTTCTTTCAGCCTCCATTCTTCTTCTCTTCGCTTTAATTCGGACAACTGTTCTTTAGCCTTGGCTTTTTCTTGATCTATAGACTCTGAATTATGCAGAGCTAAGCTGTTCAGTTTTTGCTGTGCTTCTGCCAAGTTCCATTTGCTTGCCACAGAGCTACCGACACACTCATTCTGCTGTGGACAAGACAAGTCCATGCCACTTTCTGTCTCTAGAATGTAAGAAAAAAAGAAAAAAACCATCACACACTCGTGCCAGAGGAAGCAAATGTTTTAATCAAATTCACAAAAATAATTATGGTACTTAGCATTTCTTCACACTAATATAGCATTTTGTATTTCTGAATAATATGAGTAATTAAACCACAAGGACCAAAACCAGATTTTTCTTACTTTACATATCAAAACATTGCTATACTTGATACAAGAACATAGACGGATATTCACCGTTTGTGTGTGTGTATGTAAAGTCTATATTTTTGGTTGACGGTTTTGTATGTTAGTGTTTTTAAGGGTTTATTTAAAAAAAAAAAAAAACAGACACAAAAACAGAACAAAACACTGACACTTGATTATCTTTGAATCCTTTGACACATGTAGATCAGGCTTCCCCAAACTCCGGCCCTCCAGATGTTGCAGAACTACAACTCCCATGATTCTCAGCCTATCTATTGCATTCATAGAATCATGGGAGTTGTAGTTCAGCAACATCTGGAGGGCCAGAGTTTGGGGAAGCCTGCTGTAGACGAAGAAGGTTTGGGGGGGAGAAACAATGTTATCAACAAATCACCCACGTGCTTCTCACTATCCCTGTGTGTGTTGAATGCATGAATAGCACTAGCTGGCAGCAGACAGGCAGTGTGATCTGCCCACTGTAAGAGATATTCTGTTAGGACACTCATTAGTAAAAACCCTTATATAATGCTAGAGCTGCTGCTGCTGCTGGTTATCCCGGTGTGGTATATCGCCTGGCAGCACAGTTTGGGGCAAGTTACTAGCCCCCGCCCCCGCCCCCGCCCCAGCAGAAGGAGCTGTGTTTATTAAACCTTTCACCGTTTAGTTTAGCATTACACACACCTACCTAAAACCAAACATCAAACGGTACACTCCGGAAATGCCAACTCCTCCTTTTCCGGTAACTTGAGCCCGAGCTCGCCTCCCCGTGGAATACAACGCACGCGCGATTACCGCCTCCCCCCTGCTCTAACCGAATGGTTTGCCTCCAGCAACATGGCCGCGAAAACCATACAGCGACGGTGGCTGAAAAGGACCACAGGACGAGGAGACGCATAGTGATGACGTCAAGGTGTCGTTCTGGCTGTTTGCGTCTCCAAGGAAACAGGACGCTTCCCCGTGGAATCAAGGCGGCATTTGAAACACCAGCAGGAGGGAACAGATATAGGTGCTTGAATGTAATCTCAACTACAAATATATGTATCACTTTATCTATGTATATATACACCAATATATATGTCTGTATCACTTTATATATATATATATGTATATATCCTCATATTATGTCCTCTTCTGCAACTGTCATTAGTCTAATACTATCCTTACCTTTTTGTGTCACTATACCCCACTCCCTCTAGCATGTAAGCTCATTGAGCAGGGCCCTCAACCCCTCTGTTCCTGTGTGTCCAACTTGTCTGGTTACAATTACATGTCTGTTCGTCCACCCATTGTAAAGCGCTGCAGAATTTGATGGCGCTATATAAATATCATAATAATAATAATAATAATTAATGTACACACACTTTAGCTAACTCTCCAGGTTCTCCAGTATCATATGTGCGTATGTTTCCATTTGTTTTGCAGGAACAAGAGAAATTATTAAGTTGGGATGACCAGTTAATGTTCGGAGTGAAGTAAAAGGATTGGGTTTTTTTTGTTTTTTTTGCCAAGTTCCTGATTTTTCACTGAACTTTCATCGATTCTGGCAACCTTTTCTCCTCAATTCTGATAGAATCGTGAAAAATGCCTTTGAAAGTTGTGGTTGAGCTTCAGATCCATGCGGTGAGAATACTTCTAGTATTATTAATCATGTTAATATTATGTTTAAAACTTGAAGTGCCCTGCACACGACACGTGCTCATGCAGCATTCCTCTGTAGATGCCCAAATGTGTATGGGCATATAAATTATTCATAATGGGGTGGCAAAGTTGTCCACAACATGGAAGTGCGTTTTTCTTATCCTCCCCACACTTTAAAGAACTGTAATTTTCCTGGAAGTAACATTTCTCCTATAAGTTGGTAGGAGGCCCCAGAAACAGCAGGGTAAAGCCCATATATCAAAAGTAATGGGACCCCAGTCTCCTTGTTATGTTACTGTGTTTATGTCTTCATCCACTGGCATGGCTCTTTTCATGGATATTTACTAGCATACACGGCCTATTAAAATCCATACTGTCTATGTAATGATAGTAATTTCTATAATGTAAGAGATTGATGCCAGTATATTTATGATGAGATTGTTTGCTACTAATGTTATATCGCATTTTGTTGAAAACCTTTTTTGAAAACCATTTTGTGTGGTTTGAGTGCTTTCTTACTATGGCACTGATGATTTTCTCCCATTAATTACAACTCTGGTGAAACCTGAAGGGGCCAATATGCCAGCATCAGCAGGGATTAAGCAGTGGGGTCAGGGGACAACCAAGGCAAGGCAAAGGTCATTCCCCTGTTATTGTTGGAAATTAGGAACATCAGTCTTTTTGTAATAATAGTCTATCAAGGGTTTCAAATACTGGAACTATGTACTACTGTTAGATCTCAGCTAATAGTTGGACCGTTGATTTTAAAAAAGTGATTCAATGTTGTCACTCACTGCTCTACCAAGTGTACATATTTAATCCAACTGGAGTGGTATCTGTAGTCTACACTGACCTACACAAGTACACTGATAATATAGACCTTTCCATCTTTATAGAATGACTCAAGTTTGTTTGAAACTCTCCCAATTAGGTAACTTGTCCTGGGGTATTTTTGCCAGAAAGAGATGATATTTTTCTCAGTGTTTCTGTAATGAACCAAAATAAGGAGACCGGAGCACTTCCTGCTGTATTTCCCCTGTTGTTTCACGAAAAGATGAGATTTGAAAAGGTGAGAAATATTTCCTACTTTTATGTATTTCATTGGTTTTGTACCTCAAACATGTAGATGGTTTTCTTCATTTCAAATTATATGTAGCAAACATGTAATTTGTAAAGTTATTATTTTTGTTGGATTGAAACAGTGATAATGTATCCGAGAGTCCTTTGCTGAGCCAACTTTAATTTTTATGGTAATGCAGTGGTTTAAACAAAAAAAAAGTAATATTTCTTGTCAGTTAAAAGATGCTAGAATAAGGGCTTTACCTCCATATGTGTGTTAACAGACAACTGGATCCCATACTGCAACATCAAGATAAGCCTCTCCCCGGTCGATCGACTGAAAGAAACATTTGTTCTTCTATAATATAAAAGCTGTAATTAGATGTTGGGGTAAAAAGGTTTGATTCCCTAGTCCCTCCCCCAATTATCTACTTTTATATTATGGGAGAAAACATTTTATTTGAGAATAGCTTGGGAAAAGGCTTTTTTTTTCTCGGCGCTCCAGTATGGGATCTGATAGTGATTTAAATAACAGTATTTTAATATTCTACTAAAAACCTTAAATCCACACTAAGCTGGTATGCCTTATTGTAGTAGAGCAAAATATTAAAGGAAAAATATATGGCAAGTAAGAAATAAATGTTGTGCCTTCATTGTAAAAACACAAAATCTTATAAGTGTAGAACAGCTGAGCATTAACAGAAGTAATTTGACATGATATTTTATAACTTGGGAGTATATGCTGGACCTTGCCCAGTGCATTAACAGTATGCTCCATAGAAAGTGGTGGGACAACCATCAGGGCTTAGCTCAGTAGCGCTAATGGAAACTCTTGCTTAGGAACCTTTGGCTTTTCATAGTAAGTAGTGCAGGAAGGGATAGTGCCCAGCAGACCCCAGGTAAGAAGTAAAGCCATTCTGAAATGGCATGACTCCTTTCAAAATGGGGTGCAACGGCTCTCCTTTTACCATAACCACTATGGTGAGCTGTAGTTGGTATGGTTCTCTTTTCCGTTGTTTATATTTTTATGAAACTCAATACCATTTTTAGTTATACATAAGATAAAATGGAGCATGATCTTTAGCAGCCTTTTCCAATGGATGGAGATTAAAGGACAACTGTCATCAAATTTTCACTTATTGTTTTTAAAAATATATTACATTTCAATGAAGCTTGATGATATATTTTTTAAAATACACACACATATATATATATATATATATATATATATATAGTTTTTGGAGAAAATGTTCACTTTGCATTCAATTGCAGGTTTTTCGAAAAGCCACCGATCCTGCCGTAGTAGCACAACTTCTGGAAAGTATGTATAATTTTATAGATTATCAATGGCTTATGATTTGTTCACTAATGTTGTATCCTCTAATGACTGAGTCTTGCAATACCGTTATGTACTGTATAAAACACAGCCACGTTGTTAGGGCTATATTTAGAAATAATAATAAAAACAACATTTCATAAAAACCACCATCTAGCCCCCCTGGGCCTCTCATGCCTCCATAAATATAGCAAAATCTTACTGTATTCAACCCAGAAGCTGTAGATCTGCATGCTGTTAGACTCAGAAAAACAAGCAGTCTGCTGACATCAGCAGAAGTGGTAGCCAGATCCATTCACAGTGCTTCCCCATAGGATTGACTGAAACTGACAAAGAGGCAGATCAGGGGCAGAGCCAGCATGATTCAAACACAGCCCTGGCCAATCAGCATCTCCTCATAGAGATGAATTGAATCAATGAATCCCTAAGAGGAAAATTCAGTGTCTGCATGCAGAGGGAGGAGACACTGAATGTTTGGATGCATTTTAGGGAGCCATGACCCAGGAAGGATCTCTAACAGCCATCTGAGGAGTGGCCAGTGAAGTTATCACTAGGCTGTAATGTAAGCACTGCTTGTAGTTGTTCTGGTGACAATAGTGTCCTTTTAAAGTTGTGTTGAATATATTCAGATGGTTATTTTGCAGCTGCAAATTCTGTTACTCAAATTTATCTAAATTCAGAATATGTAAACCATAGGAAAATGGCTTTGAATCAAAAGAAGTTTGGTAGGATCCCGGACAGCAAACTAACCTTAGTAGAATACATGTAAAAAAAATTCCCACAGTTTGCTTTTCCAGAGGCTAAAATAATTAAATAAATAAAACATAAACTGAGATATTTTGGATGTATGCCACATTCTCTGAATGAGGGTTAAAGGGACACTGTAGTCACTATAACCATTTGATTTGATGAATTGGTTATAGTGCCTGGTGTACCCTGTTAAACCATGTCCGAGTAGTTTAAAACAGTACAAGGGTCCCTAGCCACCCACAGTCCAGCCTCTTTCCTTGTAGTCATACCTATTCATACTGTCAGTTCTAGCTCTGAAAGGCTAAAGGCAGTCAGCTGACACTCCCTTAGCCAATCACAGCTTCCCATTGCTGCTCAGGCTAATACTTCCTCATTAGCCAAAGCAACATAGGGGATGGACTGCCGGGGAGTCTCATTTAGCATTAAAACATAAAAACATTAAAAACTGTTTAATGCTGAATTAAATGAGGGTACCAGGGACTCTAGACACTATGACCAATTTAATAAGGTGAAGCAGACAGCCTGCAGTGTCCTTTAAAGAGCACAGATAGAGTAGGCACACTTGTCTTGCCAATTCATTAATAAAGATGATCCTTCTACTTTAAGAGATGAAGGCGGTTGTAAGGTCTAGGGAAGGCATAGGATGTTTGGCTACACCTCCCATGATGCTTTGCCAGCATTATGGGGGATGTCGTCCAAAACATCAAGAGTGCCAAAGGTTGCCTATCCCTGGTCTAGGGCACTGATGGCTAACCTCGACACCATAAATTGTTTCTTGACTACATTTCCCATGATGCTCAGCTAGCTTTAAGACTATAAAAGCTAGGTGAGCATCATGGGAAATGTAGTCCAGAATCAATTTATGGTGTCAAAGTTTGTGCCATCACTGGTCTAGGGTGACCTAATTCTGCAGGTGTGCTGGGTACAGCTTGTTATAACTATCTCCTGGTTTTTAGAAGCTCATGCGGATCGACACTTCTTTATACTTATAAAAAATATTGATTGGGCCTATTTATTTATTTACTCATTAATCCGTTTAACTGCAATTAAAGTTTTCAGTTAGGCTCTCAGTTAACAACCCAATACCTGTGCTCTGCATAGGAATCTTGCTTATATGGCAGCAGGATTCCATAGACCAGTAATGGCAGATTTATGGAAAAATACTTTTAATAAATAGTCAAATTTGATTGTTTTCATCTCACTGCTCAATCAGATCTTTCAATTGGTATATCATTTGGTCTATTAGACCCTTAGAGTGATGTGTTCATGTATTTAGGACAGATTTAAATATAAAAAAGATTTATGGAAACGTCCCATAAAATGTTTTACATTATCGCTACCTAAAACCAGCTTTTCACACATTTTCTCAAAATTACTTCTAGGTGCATGAGAGATTTTCCCCTTTTATAACTTTAGCTGTACTTCTTTACATATGATGAAAATGACTTAATAGCCAGAGTGGCTGTCTAAATATCCACAAGTCAATAATTATATGTACAATTTCAGAAGTGTTAGAAATGTGAAGTGTTTTAAAAATTGTCCATGATACTTCCAAATCGTCCACCTCGACCCATGGCTGGAAATTATTCATGATACTTTCAAATTGTCTGAGACCCATGGCTGGAGTGTTTTATCTTCCCCTTCAACCACTTAAATCTGCTAATAATCATGCCATAAAATGAGTTTCAGTCCCTTTGTTGTGTTTAAAGGACCACTATAGTGCCAGGAAAACAAACTCGTTTTCCTGGCACTATAGTGCCCTGAGGGTGCCCTTACCCTCAGGGTCCCACTCCCGCCGGGCTGAAGGGGGAGGAAGGGGTTAATCACCTACCTTTTTTCCAATGCCGGGCTCCCTCGGCGCTGGGGGTCTCCTCCCTCTTCTGATGTCATCGGCTGAATGTGCATGCGCGTGCCTATAGTGGTCCTTTAAAGATCTATATATAAATGCTGGTAAAGAGTACCTCTGCATATAATGTATGTTTTTTTAGAAGAACTTGTAACCCCATTTGTTTGCTTATTTTAAAGGTACACTATAGTTACTAGAACAACTACAGCCCTGCAGGCTTTTTTTTTTTTTTTATAATTCTTTATTTTATTTGTGCATATGATTAACAGGTGAGTTTGCTTTGCCACAACAGCATGAGCAAATCGAACTTTACACACATAAGGATATCAACATGGCATTTTAGGCATTGCACATTTTTATGTTAGAATATTAGGATACACATAAATGTCTCAGCGATATGTGGTACAGGATGGACAAAACAACAGTGACCTCAGTGGCGTAAGATGGGTGTTCACATCAATTATCAACGTTTTAGTGTTATGATGTTGGTGTAGTTATATTCAGCTACGCTTTTCTAAGCTTGAGAGAGGGGCATGCGATCTATACAGTGACATCAGGTCTAAATGGCCATTCTTTTTTCCTGCGTAAGGTTATATGTCTATCTATCCGAGTAAGTTAGGTAGTAAACAGTATTTGTTATCCTTGCTAAGATTTATCTATAACATAAAATAGCTCCGTTAACAGTGGGAGTAATGAACAGGCTATAACAAGGTTATGTGGGGCTGGGATAAACACTTCCCAGTGTTTGGGTACACATGGTTCTGCAGTTTGTGTAGTGTTATATGTGCCCTACTAGATGTAGGTTGAACAAAGGCATATTAAATCACGCGTGTCTGTGGAACACAGAAATGTAGGTTTAACTAAGACGCACGCTCGTGTTGGGGAGACAATAGAGGTGCCGTCTGGTGGCAACCATGATACCGTACAAGGTCATCTACTGCAAGGTGAGTAACCTGAGCCGCGGGTCTTTACCCGCTTTGACAGTGTCCCTTTGGGGGCGTATTGTCCAGCTGCCCTCACGTTTTAGGGCATCTCTTTCAGCGTGTGTCCACCAGGTGTATAGAATTGTCCAGCTTGGGGGGAGTCCTCGTTAATACCAAAGACTCTGGGTCAGTGTCCCTCATATGAAGATAATTTTCGCTTTAGCAAGCGGCTTATCTGATCAGCAATTTGTTTCCCTGTAGGACCGGGTAATCAATCAAGTGGTGAGTGCCACATACGGGTCGGGTGTACGACCTGTCGGTATGAACGGGATGGATCTCTCCGGGTCCCATGAAAGTTGGTGTCGGGGGGTAGCGCTCTTCTGGCCTGCCTGGATGAGGGAGTCCGGCGGTATGCCCAGTGCCTGTAGGAATGGAGCTGCATCGGTCAGTTCCCTGATTTGGTAGGAGTCCGGCCCCTGCTGTACGGTGAGAACGTGGGTCTTCTGCCATCGGTATTTAATGTCTCTTTGGCGGAGAAGCGTGGTAAGTGGCTGGAGGGATCGTCGCCAAGCCAGGGTGTCTCTCGAGAGGTCGGTAAAGAAGCTCACCGCCATCCCCTCAAATTGGTACGGTGTTTTGCCCCTCAAGGCGGCTTGGATTGCTATTTTGTCCTGTCTGGTTTGAAAGGTAAGTATAGTGTCTCGTGTGGCTTCGGTTGGCGCTTTTGGCGATTTGGGGATCCTGAATATGTTGGCAAGGACAATCTTGTTAGCCTGTGTGGGTGACAATATAACTGCAAAGAGGCGCTTGATCACCTGCGGTAGTTCTGTGTCCGGGATCGTTTCAGGGATCCCTCTGACTTTCAGATTATCCTGTCTCCCGGCATCTTCCTGCTCCGCCATGCGGTGTTCATGTAGCTTTTGTTGCCGTTGGAGATCTTGCACGTTTTGTCTGAGTTCCCAAATGTCTCGGGTAACAGTTTCTGTTGCACTCTCTAGTGTGTTTAAGCGAGTTGTTAGCCCCTTCAGGTCGCCCCGTAGTGCCGCAATATCATTATGCAGTTCTTTATGATGGTCAGCAAGAAGCTGCGTGAGGACCGATATAGTCACTGGTGCGGTGTCTGGGTTGGTGTTGGTCGGCTGTGTCTGCTTTCCCAGCTTGGGGGCTGGCATATACTCCTCTCCGGAGAAGTCTTCGGAAAAGTCGGAGCAGCCGCCGTGGAGCGCCGCCATGTTGGTCTCGTTAGCTTCGCGGGCCTGTCTCCACATGTCGCCGATTGTAAGTCCCTGGGTGTTTTTTTCTTTTGGTGTTTTTTTAGTTTTTCGCCCCATGTCACACAGGGGTGTGTGGTGTATCTTTGCTGTGGTTTGGGGGTGCCCAGCCTGGGTTTTTCCCGCAAGTTTTCAGTTTTTCTCACGGAGCTCTCTGTCCGTGCGACCGCTTGTCTCGGTGGTCAAGCTCCGCCCTCCCTGCAGGCTTTTTAATGTAAACACTGCCATTTCAGACTAAAGGCAGAGTTTACATTGGTGCCTAATAACACCTCTAGTGGCAGTCACTCAGACTGCCAGTAGAAGTGCTTCCTGGGTCATTACTGCACAGTGTGGCGCATAGCGGCATTTTGCCATGCATACGCAATAGCCTCCCAATGCTTTCCTATGGAAAAGTATTGGATTGGCTGAGATTGTCAAATTTTATGATCTTAACCACAGGGATGGGGCCAGCTGCAGCGAAACCGGCTCGGTGCTAGAAAAAAAGGTAAACTCATCTTTTTAAAGAGAGGCAAGGGGGGATGGTGTCCTAAACTATGTTTTTAGAACTGTAGTGTCAGTAATACATATTTGTATTCCTGACACTATAGTGTTCCTTTAAGCATTCGCTCCAGTCACCATTCAGGCTCATTCAGAGCCATAGCTTATGAGTATATCCCAAACAATATACAATCGATAAATAATATAAAAAGCAATAGTACTTAGCTTATAAAGATGTATGACAGCCTCCCTAGGTCGTTACCCAAACAAGCGACCTATATCATATATAGTATAAACCAAAACAGAGAAGATTCGGGATATGGCTGTGTAAATCTACAGAGAAAGCATAAAACAAAACATAGTGTGATATTGTTATAAAACACAATATTTCATGCGCAGTAATCTTGTGCACTCACAGGATGTAGGCAGTAAAAGCGCTCTTAAGGTGCCTTCCCCAATGAAATGGGGGGCTAGCTGGTGTTCCTTATCACCTCTGGATCCTTGTTCCACCAAAAGACATCCACAGGTCAGGGTTCAGTAATAAAAAATGTATTTAGATAAAAAGTGTAGTCACCAATTCAGCATAGGATACAAATAACAAAAGGTTGTCCTACGCGTTTCGTTCTATAAGAACTTCCTCAGGGACCACAATTAAAAACAATAATAACAATGTATCAATGTACAATACATGAACATAGGATATAGAACGCGTTTCGTTCTATAAGAACTTCCTCAGGGACCACAATTAAAAACAATAATAACAATGTATCAATGTACAATACATGAACATAGGATATGTTCATGTATTGTACATTGATACATTGTTATTATTGTTTTTAATTGTGGTCCCTGAGGAAGTTCTTATAGAACGAAACGCGTAGGACAACCTTTTGTTATTTGTATCCTATGCTGAATTGGTGACTACACTTTTTATCTAAATAAATTTTTTATTACTGAACCCTGACCTGTGGATGTCTTTTGGTGGAACAAGGATCCAGAGGTGATAAGGAACATCATTCAGAGCCATATCTGCAAAATCTGGAAATTGTTGCAGGTATAGTGAACAATGTCTGAATTTTTAAGTCAGATTGGGCCCGTACAACAGCGAATGGTTTTGCCCTACTCGTTTCAGGGCAATTTTAGTCAATAACCCTGTTTGACTTATTTTCAAATGTTCGCTTGGTGCAATTCCATATGTCCGAATGGAATTTCCAAAACAAAAAAATGCACGAATTTTGTCATGCATCAGTTGACAAAATTCAGTTGGGATGAACCAAAATTATTTATTTTGGCGGCTTTTGAAAACCATCTGTAACTTGTTATAATAATTTTTTTATGTGATGCTCTATTTTCTTTTAAAGGGACACTTTAGTCACCAAAACAACTAAAGCTTGTTCTGGTGAGTAGACTCATACCCTTCAGGCTTTTTTCTGTAAACGCTGTCTTTTCAGTAAAAATGCAGTGTTTACATTACAGCCTAGTGATAACTTCACTGGCCACTCCTCAGATGGCTGCTAGAGCTGCTTCCTATCTCAGTTTTGCCTAGTGTTCATCACAACATATCAGTGTCTCCACCCTCTGCATGCAGACACTGAACTTTCCTCATAGAGATTCATTCATTCATTGGCTCAGACCACCACTGCTAATGATGTCAGCAGTCAGTTTGCTATTCTGAGCCAGACAGGGGCAGAACCAGCAGCTTCAAGCTTGAATACAAGTAAGATTTTACTATATTTACGGAGGCAAGAGAGGGCCAGGGGGTCTAGATGGTGGCTTTAACACTATAGGCCCTATAGCAGGAATAGGCAACCGTTGGCACTCCAGATGTTGTGGACTACATCCCCCATAATGCTCTTACACCCATAATGCTGGCAAAGCATCATGGGAGATGTAGTCCAAGACATCTGGAGTGCCAAAGGTTGCCTATGCCTGCACCCCTGGCCCTCTCTTTAATGGAGCACTATAGGGTCAGGAACACAGACATATATTTCTAACCCTACATTTAAAGGTTTATATTAAAGATTTAGCATTTATTGACTCCACAATTCAGTCCAGTCCAGGCACAGCCAGGGCACACATTGTGTTGGAGGATAGAGAGAAACACTGGAGGAAATTTATGAAAGTGTTGGGTTCTGAAAAGTGGTGCAAACATGTTAAAAAGGAGGAGTCAAATGCCAAATGGTTCCACTGGTTTCCTTGGTCATTGTCTCACTTTTAGTATTTTGCACATTTTTTTCAGAAGACAATACTTAGGTAAATGTATCTTGTTGTTTCTGTTTCTCCACTTCTCTTTAAACTAACTGAAAGATACATAGGGCAGAGCTCATAAAAATGATTCACAGAGAGCAAACATAGATACACTAAGCTCCAGGATAGCAGTAAATACATATATGTGGATTTAACAATGTTTTATTACTGAACTGTGCAATGACTCCAGTGGTCTCCTGGCACCATAGCCAGGTCAATGAGATAAAGTGGTTATGATGCCTAGAGTGTCTCTTAATATAGGGGACTCTAAAAAAAATAAAAATATTATCATTAAGTCATTCAAAATAACAGTTCCCCTTTAAGAAGGGGAAATAAGTAACACATAACTGCAGTATAAAAGGGGATCTATAACACAGTTTTATATATTAAACAAGTATATATTGTTGTTCTCAACTAACAAATGCATCATAACATATATATCTTGTGATTCATTACAGAACATATGGCAAGATTTGAACTAGTACAGCTCAGAAACCCAGGTACATTTGACAAAGTTTTTGTTTTATTTCAAATGCTATCACCTGCCTAATGTCACTGTGATACATTGTCCCACTAATTTAATTATGTGTAAATCAGTAATATATTGACCTGGGAACCGGGCTGGATTTAACCTCCTTGCTGCCTAAAAGCCAGTTTCCTCAATGTATGTGTGTGTGTATGTATATGTAAAAATCGAAGGGATAGTCCACACTCTCGGTCTTAATAAAATGTAACTTTTAATATTTACATTATAAAAAACAATTGTGATGCTAAACAGAGTCAACCTTTCAGTCCCTGTTCAGGACTTTCCATAGGACAGCATAATGTAAGATTATAAACGGTGATATTTATAAGTGGAATAAGTGCTACAACTTACCCCAGGTGTGTATCGCCCGCGTTCACCTCTGTCAATTGCGCATGCATTCTGAACCTTCCCCGTGCCCTGTGATGACGTGGAGAAGAGGTTAGACTCCGATCAATGATGATGAGATATACAAAACAAATTGATCGGAGTCTAACCCCTTCTCCACCAATAGGAATTAAGGCGTCTGATGTTTCCATGGTATCTCATATCCTTTGTCTCAGCACGTATCCACGTCATCACAGGGCGTGGGGAAGATTCAGAATGCATGCGCAATTGACACAGGTGAACGCAGGCGATATACAACTGGGGTAAGTTGTATCACTTATTCCTCTTACAAATATCACTGTTTTGTAATCTTATGCTATGCTGTCCTGAGGAAAGTCCCGAACAGGTACTGAAACGTTGACTGTGTTTAGCATCACAATTGTTTTTTTATAATGTAAACATTAAAAGTTACATTTTATTAAGACCGAGAGTATGGACCATCCCTTCTAATTTTGTATACATGTGACTACGGTCTGGCACCAGGCATTCACAACTTTATTGGAATCAGCCTGCATGCAGGGAAATATATATAATGCAACTTGTTAGGGGCATGATTGACTGGTAAATGTGATAAGGTGGGTGGTTGGGTGTTAAGTGCTTGGAGACAATGTGTATATGTGTGTGGAAGCTGCATGTGATGTTGCATGTTTACATAAGGAATCGTTCGCACATGTAGCAGAATATTTGTCAATTTTTCAATTATTATATAACACTGAGAAACAAAAACCAGAAAATAATTACAATTAAAATATGAAAATAAAAAGAAGAAAAGGAAAAAAAGGTTGATGAAATCTAATGCATCCGACTAACATCTGTATTTATGCTGTAGAGGGAAAATGCCACCAAGGATCACAAACTTTATAGAAAGAAGGCCAGATGTTATGCACTATGGCAGTTAATTGATCCATTCAGTGATTTTTGTCTACTTTAGCTCTGATCTCTCTGATCGAAGGGGCCAGTACTACCAGAAATGATGCCGCTATCTATGGGCATAGGTAGAAAAAATAGCCAGGGATCCAAATCAAAGGGGAGTTAAATTACTTTTGTTTCTGTCCATGCAGCCTTAGTTACACCTCATTTTCAATCATATGCTAACTCAAGTTAGAGGTTTTTTTTATCTCCTGATCTGTAAATTGAACTTTAAAACAAACAGGGGACTCCTGCAGGGTCTAGCAGGGTATTACCAGGGCGGGAGATAAGAAATTCTAAATTATCAGACTATGCAATATAAGAAGTTTAAACATTCAATCTCTCTTTAGAGGAAGCATTTAGGAAGCTGTGTAAGTCACATGTAGGGAGGCGTGACTGCATAAGCAAAGTGAATTAACTCCTAAATGACAGAGATTAAAGCAGTGAGACTGCAGGGACATGATCTATACACCAAAACTGTTTCATTAAGCTAAAGTTGTTTTTGTGCCTATAGTATTCATGTAACACTGTAGATTTAAAAGTGTTAATTCTTTTTTGTTAAAAGTTTATATGTCTAAATGGAAGTGTTTATAGTGTCCATATTTGGAAATTAACTATGTTTTTATTTTATTTTTTTATTTTTTAAGGAAAAATAAAGGGTTTAATCATAGAGCTATTATCTGTTTAACATTTTATCGCTTCAGTTACAAGTTTAATTAAAAAATGCCTCTTTATTGCTTAAATTAAACAGACTTTTAAGAAGCCATACAAATTTTTTTTTTTTTTAAAGTCTTTATTGTCAAAAACGCATATTACAGAGTTAGATAATAGCCATATATGGGAAATACATGGTTTGAAATAATAGAGGAAGGTTACACATGTTGAGTATAGGTCTGTTCTGTACCGTCCTGAGTGGTCGGGGGCTATGACTATTCAGGGTAAACATGGTGGTGGAAGGGGAGGGAATGTCTTCTAGTCCCGTTGGGTCTTGTCATAGTGTGTGGGTCTATCACTCGTCACTTTGCAGGGTGTATATCCGGTCTTCATAAGGCCAGTACGTCGTGCCCACAGTGTGGGCTGGGCTTGTCTCATTGTTGAGGTAGTCAAACTCTCGCTCTGAGAGTGTGAGCTGCGTGATACTCTGTACGTGTTCAGTTAGAGTTATGATACTTGAGGGTGTTAGCAGATGGCCCGTTTGGACCGTAAGCGTGCTTCTCTTGTGCGTCTCATCCTATTATCGTCATCTAGTGCGGTTGATGCCTGTGGTGAGGGCCAAAAAGAAGAGGGGGGGACTGGAACTAGGGGTGGGAAAGGATGTGGGGAGGTGGTCTCAGACAGACCGGTGCTGAATCTAGACCGTCTCGTTGTATGCGAAACGGTGGGCAATCTCTAGTATAGTCTTAAGTATGGATGTGAATCATGGGATCTGGTTTGGTCATGAATTTTTCCCAGGGGCTCCACACCTCACGAAAGAGTGGGTATGTGTGTGTTATGGATGCATGAATTTCTTCCATGTCTTTAATCCCATCTACCTTCGTGATCCATTCTCTGATTGTGGGGGTCTCAGGGTTTTTCCATTTTGCGGGAATGAGGGCGTTGGCCGCTAAGAGTAATTGTGCTACCAGCGTACGCATTGGCTTCGGTAGAGGCGTGTGTGGGAGCAAGAAGAGTAGGGATTGGGGTGTTGTGGGGAGCGTCAGCCCCGTCACTATCCTGACCATTGACAGAATGTGGTTCCAGTATATTTGTATGTTAGGGCAGTGCCACCATATGTGTGCTAAGGTCGCCCCCTGTTGATGGCATTTCCAACAAGTACCCTGGGTCTGTGGGAAGAGGTTATGTAATTTCGCCGGTGAGTAGTGCCAGCGAGATATTCTCTTGTATCCACTTTCTTGTAACCTGTTGCAAATGGAGGTTTTGTGGATTTGTGTAAGTATAGTTTTCCACTGGGGTTCTGGGAGGGTTATGTTAAGGTCCCTCTCCCACGCCTCTGTGAACCTGGGTATCGACTTATTATGGTTGTCTTGAATAAGTTTGTAGAACGTCGAGAGGTGTTTGGTTTTAACGTTCTGTGATGTACAGTGTATTTCGTAGTCTGTGAGTGTGCGGGAACCTGTTTTTAATATAGGGTTGGACTCTATGAAGTGGGTCAGTTGTACATAGTGGAAAGTTGTCAGGGTGGACGGTTTGTCTTGTGTTGTTAGTTCGGTGAGAGGGCGGATAGAGTTGTTGTCTAATACTCTCCTCAGTGTGAGATAAAGCGCATCGGCCGAATCCTGGAAATTTTGATAGGTGGCCTTCTGTAAGCCCGGTGGAAAGAGTGGGTTGTGCGTGATTGGGTATAAGGGAGACGGGTGTGGGGAGATGTTTGGGAGTTCTCTTATACGTGACCAAACCTTGAGTGTAGGGAGGATTGTGGGGTGGGAGGCATGGTGGGTAAGTAGCGCGGTCATGTTAGTTCTTTGCCACGGTATTGTGTAGCGGGGTATCTTGAATGCAGCGCTTTCGAGCTTTCCCCATTGCCTTGCCGGAGGACTGGTGGTCCATTCATATATCCTGGATAGGATGGCGGCTTGATGGTATCTTTCCATGTGTGGTAGGCCTAGGCCTCCGCTGGCTTTGTGTTTGGTTAAAATTTCGTAGGGGATTCTAGGATGTTTATGTGCCCAGATGAAGGTGATGAAAAGTTGTCTTAATTTGGTGAAGTATGATTTGGGTATAGTGATGGGTAGGGTTTGCAGTAGGTAAAGCACCTTGGGGAGTACTGTCATCTTAAGGATGTTAATCCTACAGAGCCAACTAAATTGCGGTTTGTGCCAGTCGTTAAGGTCTTTATTAAGGGATTGGATAAGGGGTTCAAAGTTTAGGCTGAATGTAGATTTTAGGTCTGCTGGAAGGTGGACTCCCAAGTATGTGATGGCCTTGTCAGCCCAAGCGAACTGGTACAGGTGTTGCAAGTGCTGTTGCCTAGGGGGTTCGAGTCTGATAGGTAGAATTTTGCTCTTGGAGAAATTTACTTTGAAGTTGGACATTGTGTTATAGAGTGAGATCTCGGCCAGGAGGGGCGCCAGTGATGTGTCAGGGGATCCTAAGGTGAAAAGCAGATCGTCGGCGAATGCCGCGACTTTATATTCTGTCTGTTGTACTACAATGCCCTTTATGTCAGGGTTATCTCTGATGCCATTTAGAAAGGGTTCTAGGGTGAGTATGAATAGGAGGGGGGAGAGGGGGCACCCCTGTCTCGTACCATTTCGAATGTGGACAGGGTCGGACAGTTGTCCATTGATCCGTAGTTTCGCCGTAGGGGTCGAGTAAATGGCTTGTAGCCACCTGGTCCATTTAGGTCCTATTCCCATTGTTTTCAGGGTCGTCAGCAGTAATACCCAGTCTACTCTATCAAACGCCTTTTCCGCGTCGATGGACAGCAATAGACTGTCTGTCTGAAGGCGTTGTGCGTGATAGATTAAATTCAGGATTTTGGTGGTATTATGTTTGGCTTCTCTGTTTGGGACAAATCCGGCTTGGTCCGTGTGTATGAGTGTGTCAAGCAGTGGTCTTAGTCGGTTAGCCAGTATTTTGGTGAAAATTTTGAGATCTATATTAGGGAGATTGGACGGTAACTTCCGCAGTTAGTCGGGTCTTTTCCTGGCTTTGGAATGAGAGTTATGTGGGCTTCTAGGGCAGAGGCGGGTAGGGAGGCGGTGAGAGCTACTGAATTAAAGGCTTGTTGGAATGGTTCCGTCAGGCCATTTGTGAATGTCTTATAATATTTAGCTGTGAAGCCATCAGGGCCTGGGCTTTTCCCCAATGGGAGTTTGCGGAACGCTATTTGGGCTTCTTCTGGGGTGATTGGGGCTTCTAGTGCCTGGAGTGCGCTGGCGGGGATGGTCTGGTGGATTCTAGAAGCGAGAAACGTTTCCACTTCGTGTTCAGGTGGGGGGGAGTCCCTGAGGTTGTATAGTTCCGTGTAGAAGGCTTGGAAGGATGCTAGAATGTCTGGTAATTTATGCGATACGTCTCCGCGTGGGGTTTTGATTTTGGATATGAACGTCATTTGGCGTTGGTTTTTTAGGGCACGTGCTAGCAGCCGACCGCTTTTCCCACTTTGGGCGTAGTAGGTGTGTTTGGTGCGTAGGAGGGAGTGTTTAACATTTGCGTTGAGTATATCTCGCAGCTCTGAGCGTTTGGCTGTGAGTGTCGTGTAAGTAGTTAGCCTGGTATCACGTTTGTGTAGGTTCTCGAGATCTCTAATTTCGGTCGTGAGGGAGTGGATTCTTGCTTCTCTGAGTTTTTTAAGTCGTGATGCCTTGGCTATGATTTCACCTCTAAGAACACACTTGTGTGCTTCCCATACTATGGACGGGGATGCGAGGGGAGTAGTGTTTTCGGCGAAGTAGAGTTGGATGGATTTCCGTAGCTCGTCTACGGTATCTGGAGCGTTGAGTAGCAAGTCATTGAGTTTCCATTGGAATGATCGTTGTGGGAGTGCTGGGATTTGTATGGTAAGAGACAGGGATACGTGGTCCGACCACGTGATTGGACCATAGCTACTGGAGTGTACCAGGTGGAAGTATCTATGTGGTAGGAAGAACATGTCTAATCTAGAATAGGTGTGTGTGACCGGAGAGAAAAAAGAGTAGTCCCTGTCTGAGGGGTGGGATGTACGCCAGCAGTCATAAAGCTGCGACTTGTCCATTAAGGTTGCAAATTGTCTGCGAGCCGAGGTCTGGTACTGGTTGGTTTGTGATGTTGTGTCTAAGGTCGAATCGAGGGAGAGATTGAAATCTCCGCCCAGGAGGAGTATGCCTTCTGTGAATTGTTCTATGAGTTTGAGGTGTTGGCGTAGTATTCGGCACTGGTGTTTATTGGGTAGATATGTGTTCGCTAGTGTGACCTTTGTTTGCCCTATTTGTCCCTTGACCAGGAGCAGTCTCCCAGAGTCATCTGTCTTGTGAGACGTATATACGAAGGGTACTCGGGCTGATATTAAAATTGCTACACCTCGTGCTTTGGCGTCCGCGAAATTACTGAAGTATCCAGTTGGATATCTACGATCCCTAATGGTGGGAGCTTTATCCTTCTTAAAATGAGTCTCCTGTAGGAAAGCGATATCAGCTTTGAGTTTGTGTAGTTCAGTGAGTGTCAGCGATCGCTTCTCGGGAGCATTCAAGCCTCTAACATTAAGCGTGACGATCTGTAGGGTAGCCATGGAGACCCCAGGTATGGGGTAGGCTAGCACCGGTCTGTCCTGCTGTAGGGGGTGGAAGGCGAAGGTAGGTGGTGGGGTGTATTGGTGTGTTGGGGGGGTAGTGTGGGTAAACTATATAACTATATACAAGTATATTCAAGAAGCGGTGCTGTCTACAGTTACTGTCTCTAGACAATAGGGGTGTAGACTGCTGGGGGTATCCTTGGGCCACTCTCCTGGGAGGGCGTCTTCCCACCCAGGAAGACGAGTTGTCACCCTGGTTGGGTCTTTGACCCAAAATAGGAGCCTAGGTTTCTGCCTCTATGGTTGAGCTCGCTGTGAGTCTCTTCCCACGCACTTAAGCGTCGTCTTCTATTTGCGGTGTAAGTACGGGTTTGTTGGGTATCCTCGGTCGAGTGTGTATCCGTGTACGTGATGTTGTTAATCAGTATGGGCAATGTCATGTGATCGGGACAGGAGTTAGCGTGTTTCGCAGCATGTGTAAGTGTGGTTTGTGGCACACCACGGGGGGTTGTGTACATTTCCGTAGTTATTTGTAGTCTGTGGGTGGTCTGATCGTCTCCTCTCCCAGGCTAATCTGTGTATGTCATCCTGTTTGGGAAGCCGATGTTGTTGTTTTTTTTTTTTTTTCGTTTAACAATAGGGGGAGGGCAAGTCTGGTGTCTCAAAGCGTCACGACGTCAGGGGAGGGAGTACATCACATAACAGTACAACATGTGCATATAACATATATAATGCAATGTAAGCAAATACATTCATAGACTTATGGTGCCTTTAGGCCTTCTAATAAAATCTTAAGTGCAGCAGTGTACTATGAAAGATGCTCTTCAAAGTCCCCTGGAGGTCTCCTTAAGGGGGTGGTCATTTAGGAGGTGCTTTGTCTAGATAGATGGTAGCACGGCAGGGTTTAAACCATACTCTAATGTTCCACGCTCTATGTGTACCGTGTGGTTCATTGCTTCTCTCCCCCGGGGGGTCTGAGGGAGCCCAGAAGCCCGCCATATGATGTTAAGTAGCAGTATATCGCTATTGTGTTTTTTTGTTTTTTTTTCCTTTTATCTCCCTCTTGGTGTTGTCAGGTGGAGTGTTCTCGATGGAGCTGGGACTCTGATGACTGTAAGGGTTGCTCGGGGGGGGGAGGAGGGTCCCCTGTAGGTTGGTGGGCCTCCCCTCCCGATCCCCCCGTGTCTGAAGTGGTAGGGGGAGCCCTTCCGGTATATGGGTTATGAGAGTGTAGGGGGCGAGTGCTTAAGAAGGCGAGGCCTGGGATGCCGAGTGTGGTATGGATTGCCACTCATGCGGCATTGGTGTTGTGTGTTCCCCCCTCCCCACCCGATCCGACCCCCCGAGAGCGCTTCCCTATAGGATTCCCTCGACTAATGGGCATGGAAGGGGCAGCGCTCAGGTTCCCTGTGGTTAGAGTTGCCTCACCATCAAAGAGGGGCTGGTTGTGTAGCATTAACAGCGCAATACAATTGATGACTATAAAGATCTACCTCAGGTTAATAGTTTTCCCCTTTGGGAGCATAAAGTGGATAAAAACAACATTATTAAAGTTTGAGTCTTGCAGAACTTAGTCCGTGTCTGAAAGAGTGAGGTCGGTCCATCACATATTAGAGGCAGGGTAGGTGAGGGATTCAGGGCTTCTGGTGTGGAGCAATGTTCCGGGTACCCTTACCCCTGCCTTCCCCCCCAGTGGAAAGGAGTAGGGGCTTCAACCTCCATGACCTTGCGAAGGGCAATGGAGGCGGGTGGAAGTCTAAGTGGGGGTTGGCTCGGAGGCTCACAGGTAGAGTTGGGTGCGCGTGTGGCCTCGCTGTCAGCTGTGGTTCATATACTTCGGTAGAGATGGTGTCGTGCAGGAAGGTCATGTGGGGTGCCACTGTTGTGTCGGGTGAGGGTTTCACGGTTAGTGTTGAGAGACGTCTCGTGCTGATCTCTCTTCGACAGCCGTTGGCGGTTCCGTTCTTCTCTTTCTGGGGGTGGTCTGCCAGCGAGCTCGTTGCGGCATGGCTTGGGTGGTCTGCTGCGTGATGGGGCCATACCAATCTTGAATCCTGACATCCGGTAGGTCGAAGTCCCTCAGGAAAACGGGTACATCTGCCAGCGTTGTTATGACTCTCGTGTTGCTCTTATATGTAGCCGTAAGGGAGAATGGAAAGCCCCATCGGTATTTTACATTGCGGGCTCGGAGTTGGTCCGTGATTGGTTTCATAGTTCTGCGGGCCTGGAGCGTCAGCCAAGACAGGTCTGGGTAAATTGCTATAGGATGCGAGTGGAAGAGGAGCGGCTGTTGAGATTGTCTGACTGCCATAATGATATCATTCTTGCATTCGTAGTAGTGTAATCGGCACACCACATCCCGGGGTGCGTCCGTGGCGGCACTCCTAGGGTGTAGGGCCCTGTGGGTTCTGTCGAAGATAATTTGAGTGTCGATGGGTCGGCCTAGTACTAGGTTGAAGAGCTCACGGAGCACTGGTTGCAGGTCTTCCCTATCTTGTTCCGGCAGACCTTTCACTCTCAAATTATTCCTCCTCCCTCTGTTATCCAGGTCGTCCATAGACCTTTGCATGTACGAGATTTGTTCGTTTTGGGCTTTCATGTTATCTTGCAGTGATGTAATCTGGGCTTGTAATGTATCCCCGTCGTCCTCCAGTGCGCTCACCCGTTGTTTAGTGAGTTGGGTGTCGGCACCTATTTTGCCCAGTTTAGTCTGGAAGGCGGCTTCAAGTTTGCCCAGCATCTGGGCTAGATCTCGTCTGGACGGGAGAGCTCTTATTAACTCCCTGAGGTCCGTGTCGGGGTTTTGGCTCGAGCCCTCTGATCCCAGAGGGCTCGATGGTGGGGAACCCGCTGGAGACGAGTCGGGCGCCATATTGGGGCCTGTGGGGTCCGGTTGTTGCTCTGCTGCATCGCGGAAATATTTAGTTAGGGCGCTCGATTTCCCTGCCGGGGTCTTCCCCGAGGGGTGCTGCCCGGTGGTGCAACGTTTAGGGTGTTCCATGGTTGAACTGGAAGCCCGATGGTGATGGATTACACTTCGACGTGGAGGAGCTCAGCTAGCAGGCGTCCATGCAGCTCGGCAGTTGGCTCCGCCCCCCATGTTTTTATTTTTTGTATAGTTTTGCAGGTATTTGTTAATTGTAAATTTATCATTTGACAATCCCACTTAGGGCCAATCCTAGGTGGGTGCAAAGAGGCAGATCGGCAAGATGTGCAACACTTGGCTCTGCCCCTTCATGGTAGGTCCCGCTCCCTCGTGATTGGCGTCAGGCGGCAGAGCTGGAAGGAAAAGTTTACAAGCTGTTTTCCTTACGGTTCTGCCGCTCAACGCAGAATCTGAAGGGTTGAGTCTAACAATAAAGGCCGGTACCTAATGTGTAGGGGAGGAGCGTAGCACTGCACACCTTTCCAATTCATCTCTTTGCACCTATCCAGGATTGTCCCTGATTCTACCATATGTGTATTGTACAGTGCTTATAAAACACATGCTGTAGTAGGATTTACGAATCATCTGTAATTTATTATAAGTCAAGTACTACATATGTAGTAAATTAAAATTGTACTCTTATGTTATCCATTCCTTTTCTGGAAATTAATTAAAGGGGCATTTTATGCGCTGTAACCTCTACAGATTAAAGTAAACCTATAATTGAAAAATGTACTTACCTTAAATCATTTCCATATACATTGAATATACCATATATAACTAAATCAAAAGATTTACTTAATTTTCCTACATTTCAGCTCCGCTACTAGCTGTTCTCCACCTCTGTTATTCTTTGATTTGCCTTGCTTTGGACAGATGCCCAGGCAGGGCAAAGGACAAATCTCATCAGTGACGTCGGCATGCTGGCTTCATTGTCAATGTGCCGGCTTTAGTGTCATGTCACTCCATTCATATACTCCATAGCTGGCACTGGCTTGACAGTTTTCATAGCGCCTGCTGCACATGTGTCAAGGTTTTTCTCCTAATCTATAGAATTGCTAGCAAAAATAAAATCTTATGCTCAATCTAATTACCATAAATTGTTTGGGGCTTGACAAGTGCCCTTTAAAGAAGTGGCTGCAGTGCTAGGAGTCTATGAGGTTGTTTCAAACCAATTAAACGTATCTTGACAAATTCTGGGGATTGTCTGCCACTCTATATCCACCCTCTCTACTTCTGACATCATAGTGAGGTATTTTACATTCTCATTTCCAATATAAGTCTTTGTACATTGGACTGTATGCCGACGTCATGCAATGACAGAGTGTGAGTGCTGTAATGTAGCAGGATTTGACTGTCGAATTGCTGCTCTACTTTCTGCACTGTTGAATTTCCTTGAACTCTTTTAGTTAATGATGATTCAGAGGTTCATAAAGGGCTACAGCAATTCATTGTGTTTAAATCCTGCTGTAGCACTTTTATTTACATATTATTATTGCATAATGACAAATGCCATACATACTCTTATCCAAATGCAGAAATGCTTTGTACAATCTTCTTAATCACAACAATCTCAGAAAAAAGGAAACATATATTCAATGCGTAAAAAGAGATTCCTGAAAAGGAAACATCCATTGTATTTTTTTTTTTTAATTTTCATGTGAATGTGATTTCTGATCTTTGTCTGTAGGTGTTCAGAACAAATTACTTACAGAAATTGCAAGAACATTTCTGATGTTGAGTGATGATAGATTTTTTTTCATCAAAGGGGATTATAAATAGTAAAGGAAGCCATTCTGAACTAAACAATTAGTTCATCTGTGCTTAAAGCTTGACCAAAAACACTTCAAAGCTGCCCTGAAAGGTGCAATTGTTTATTTCTTCATCTGTGTGATAGCTACAGACACAGATTAAGAACATGATGTTCCTTCATGTGACATCTGGCAGCCATTGGCTCATTATCATATTCAAAAGCACCAGAGGCCATATAGTCATGTTTTACTGATCAAAAACAAACTAAGGCCACTTAAGAAGGATAAGAGAAACAAGGTGACTGCATATGTTACCTGTTAGAGCCACATTCATTATTTCTGTGTGCTGTCAAAATCAGAAAGCAATCATTTTCTGTTTCAGAGGAGGTCACTAGCGTGTGTAGAGGAAATCTTTTGATACCTGTACATCTGTTGTATTGTCGAATTGCAGTTACCTACAAAAACAAATCCATTAAATGACATATTTGAAAAAAAAATTCTATTGGTTTGAGTAATCATCACAATGTATATTCATTGGGCTTTGACCTTTTTTTTCTTTTCTTTTGTTTGTCAATCACTTTTTTATTTAAGGCAATGTTGAAAAACATTACAGATAATACGGAGTTATAACAGGCATATGGAAGCTTTGCTTGGATCAAAACATGAGTAGTGCAAGATTAATAGAACATACATACTGATATAATCTCCCAACTAATACTGCCCCTTTTTATTTTTAAAGAAATTGGAAGAAAACAGGCTATCAGATCTGTAAGTAAGTAGTTATCAACAAAAAGTATGCTAAAAGCTTCTACAGAAAAATCACAGCCAGAAGTTAAATAAAAACATGCTAGTAAGTTAGAAGACAGGTTGCATGTAAAATAGTTTTACCACTGGGCATCCCAAGACAGAAAAGTGTTAACTAAGAAAAACAACAGAAAGTAGTACATCAGTCTCCCAGGGACTGTAGGTATATTATTATGCACAATATGTACTGCGCTTTCGTGTGTAGTCAACCAATGCCACTGGTAGGCTTTTACAGAGAGGTCATCTCCATGTCAGGCCCATTTTCTTCCGCTTTGGAAATTTCCAAGAATGCTGAGTGCAAGTGAGGCCCACTCCGGAAGAACTCCGCTCCTTGCAGCTTCGAGCCAAGGCTTTAACGGGAGCCAGAACCCCTTGTCTGAAGATTCCCCTTCTCTTTGCGGCAGGATCACAGCTGGGAACCCCTCTGGATGTTCGCATGGTGGGTCGGCGGAAGATCGAGGAGTCACTGCAACTGCATGGCCATTGTACAGCGCTACGGAATTTGTTGGTACTATATAAATAATAATAATAATAATGGTTCCCAGGTGTAGAAGGTAAGGTACGATGGCGTATGCGGTGCCAGAATGCTTGGCAGATCTTATCACATTTTGCTTTAAAGGCCATCCGCCATGCCAGGTTTTCCAGGCTTCTATTGTGCTATCACAGCTCCTGTGCGACAGCCATGTTAGGAATGCCACTTCGCCTTTGGCCCTGTAGGTTGTCGATTGGGCACTGTAGAGACTCAAAAGTGCCGAGTGTGGGCCGGGTTATCGACCACCGGTCCACCACCAGTAAAAAGTAGGGGAGTGGGGAAACAGGGCTGCAAGATCTCCACTGGCAGACTGAAGCCTATAGCCAACAGATCAGCCGCCTCTCCCAACTACCAGACCAAAAGCCTCAGTAGGCGTCAAGGTTGAGCACAGCATGTATCCGTCCGGGTACCCGAAATCAGGCTGAATATGTGGTAGCTTAAGGTAAGGGTGATCCCCGGTTAATGTTGAGCCGTATCTCATCAAATGTACCATGGTGTTTTCACGATTTAAGTTCAAAAAAGCTCTACCCAGAGAAGGATACGTCTGACCATCTTGGTTGTCAGCTTAGGCTGCTAATAAAGTGTAACGAATGTGCTTGATTCTACTGAGAAATTTTGGTTGTCATATGTTTTTCTATAACTTTTAAATGGCTATCTAATTACTAAAACATAACCTCTAAAATCTCACTCAGGTGGGTAAATGGTAATTTGAGCCATGATGATGAATATATGTCTTTAGAGACATGATGCAATTTGTACTTTCGGAGCACTTGATATCTTGCAGAGCAGGGGTATGTACAGACCTGTCAAGTTACATGATTGGTATGTGACATACAAATTTCCCTCTGTTCTATAAATCAGGATTCTCCAAACTCTGGTCTTCAGATGTTGCTGAACTACAACTCCCATGATTCTTTGAGTGAAATAGATAGCCAGAGAATCATGGGAGTTGTAGTTCAACATATGGAGGGCCAGAGTTTGGTTGGTTGTAGGAGTATGTATGTGCAATGTTCCTGCTTCAAACACTGCAGATGCTGAGTTATTATTAATTGTGTGCTGTGGGCAAATTGCACCCAAAGCACACGTGACTTAGGTAGCCCAGAACTCTATTTCAGGCTGTATAATGCCAATTATGTGTATATTTTGTCTGTCATTAGTGCACATAGCAAGCTGGTGACTGACGTGATAATCGTCTCCCTTGCAGGCAGAGTGTCTTCCTCCCTCCCACTGTGTGCACCCTCATGCCTCCCTCCATCGCACACAGGTTTTTATTAATAGACATTGCTTTGTTGATATTAAATTCAGACATTAGGTGGCAGTACACTCCAGATCTTGACATACCTCAATACCAAAAATAAAAACATGGGCTGTATGGTATGGTACAGTAGTTTATCAATACTGGTGAATTTTAAAGATAGATTTGATTAAATTGTGAAGTAAAAAAATAAATAAATGAACAATAATGTTTCAGTTTATTTTATGCCAACTCCAACCTGATTGGCCTCTGTAAATGTATAGGCTTGTGGACATTTTAAAGTTTAATTAAAATTGTGTTCAAGTATTCACTTAACTGAAAATCAGGGAGAATTGACAAAAGGATTCTGAATTTCAGGTCAATATAGCTGAATTGGAAAATAGCTGAGATGGAAATTTTTCCAGTTTTGGTTATTAATGACCTTTACAGGGTTATAAATTGTGAATTGTCTGGAGGTGAGTGTCTGGTGGTAGTAATGTTGGTTAATCTCTCTGAAATGGAATACTGGTTAAAGGGTTACTACAACCATTTGTAAATAAACTTTTTTTTTTCTTTTTACATTTACACTGCCCTACTGGATATTACTTATTAACCCCTCTCCCTGTTATAAACCTGTAAAATAAGGCTTCATACACCTGGACTCCAGCCCTAAGTGAAACTTCGCTACCTGATTCTCAAATCCCGTCTGGCATCACTGCTTCCTTCTCTAAGGTCCAACCAAAAGGTTCTCATAGAATGCCCATGCACTCTCTCTGTGCCGGAAGGGTACCAGTGGGGGTGGACAAAAAGGGAATTAAAAAAACCAAAACATAAGAAATATGAGAATCGGGGAATGCTCAAATGAGAGAAGGAAGGGAGATTCAAGCATCAACACTTTACTGAACATATTCACTGCAAGGCTAAATATTTGTTATTGTTGTTTTTCAGCTGGTGACATACTAGCAAGCTATGAAGAAAATAATCGAGACTTCCTGTTTCCTGAGCCCAAGCTGACACCTCCATACCCAGGAGTGGGCCGAGAGGTGCTAATGAAAACTGCCCATGGATTCCCAGTGAGTTGTTCTTCTCTTACCAATATATATATATACACACACACATATATAAAATCCTATTTGGATTCTGATTGATAGATATATATCAAAATCCAAAAAGGTTACTAGGTTATAGTGGGGGGAAATTGTGATTGAAAACCCCTTCCACCTGAAGTCTGTGGATAGTTAATACAATGTAAAACAAAAATCTGCACACCAGTCAAGCCATAAGACTTGCTTTTCCCACGGAAATCACAAATCTGCAGCGATGTTACTACCGCAAAGGATTCTGGGCATATGCAAATTAGTTTAACAAAGAATCGTATTTGTGCCTCATTCCATTTTAAACATGGATTAATTTGAGTCTGTGTTTGCTGTATACAACAGCTTTGAAACACAACTTAGGAAAAGATGCAAAGCCAGTAAACCACTCATGGCCCTCCCTAATCACGTTTCCATCTGGAAGATTAGGCATTTGCCTAGCAACCAACCCATTTCAGAGCATCTCCTGACCTATGCTTTCCTGATTTGCCTCTGTTTTCCTTATATATATATATATATATATATATATATATATATATATATATACAATGCAGCACCTCTTTGTGATATAGAGATATTCAATAGTGAAGGTGAAACAGGAGCACTTTAGGCAGGTCCCCAGCTTGGGATACAGACCTGTACTGCTACGTCATCCGTCCCTTCTCCACTGGCAGCACCACCATGATTCTTCAGGGTAAGGTCTTGCCCTCCACCCAAAGCAGATATCACCTCTTCTTCTTGTAGGAGAGAATCAATTCCTCAGTGCTCCCAACACATCTTTACAAAAACACTTTTGACTCACAGGTCCAAGTGATTAAGCTTTCAACATACAAGTCCACAGACTCTGTCACCATGCCCCTCCAAATAAAAGAGACAATACTCAGGAGGCTAAGAATCAGAATACTTTATTTACTACAAGGACTAGCCCTAGCAATACATCATTCAGCTTGCGGTGAGCCACACAAACTTAGATGCAAAATATGTAAGATCTAGCTCAAAACATTTTCACCTCAATAGTAATAGAGAAGGACTGACAATCTCAAAGGCTTCCTGTTCGAAGGCACCAACAAAGCCCTGTGTGATATAATGCTAGAACTCTTCCTGTTCATTTAAGCTTATTGCCTAATTAAAGCAGCTATTTTGTAATGCATAAAATTTTGATGACGTTACGTTTTTGGAGCACTTACGTGCACACCTGTTTGTGAAACTTAAATACCATGCACCAAAAATTAAAAATAAAGAATTGAAAAAAACTAATTCTGATGACGTTAACATGGCAAAGTCCCTCATAGCATTTAGGGATGCCATAGTCTGATTTTCTAATTACATTTCAGGGTTTGACAAATCAAAATCTATGAAATACACCATGGTATGAGAATAAATTTCAAAGGCAAATTCCACCAGATGCAACCATACTGTGACTGTGTCTTGATAAGCTTGCAAAGATGTTATATTTTATAGGCAGGGAATTAGAATAAGTAATAGCCTGTAAGCATTGGAGCCAATTTATTAGATATGCATTGTTAGCAACAATGATTAAATTATTAAAGGAACGATATAGTCACCTAAACAACTTTAGCTTAATGAAGCAGTTTTAGTGTATAGATCATGCCTCTCAGATTTTACTGATCAATTCACTGCCATTTAGGAGTTAAATCACTTTGTTTCTGTTTATGCAGACCTTGCCACACCTTCCCTGGCTATGATTGACAGAGCCTGCATGAAAAAAAAAACTGGTTTCACTTTCAATCAGATGTAATTTACCTTCAACAATTTTATCTCTTGCTATGTAAATTGAACTTTAGTCACATACAGGAGGCTCTTGCAGGGTCTAGCAAACTATTACCATAGCAGGGGATAAGATAATCTAAATTAAACAGAATTTGCAATAAAGAAAGGATAAACTTTAGATGACTCTTTACAGGAAGTGTTTATGGAAGGCTGTGCAAGTCACATGCAGGGAGGTGTGACTAGGGTTCCTAAACAAAGTGATTAAACTCCTACTGGCAGAGTATTGAGCAGTAAGGCTGCAGGGGCATGTTCTATACACTATGCTTCGTTAAGTTAAAGTTGTTTTGGTGACTATAGTGTCCCTTTAAATATATATAGCAGAAGCATAATCCATTCTATTGTGCTATAAATATTTCTCCTTTTCTACCGAGATAATAACAATAATAATGACTGATCATGATGGTATAAGACCATTGGGCAGTGGACATTCGTTCTTTGCTACTGTAATTCATTCCATGTGATAGCATTGTTACCTCTCTAATTGTGCTCTTTGATCTTTTTCTGCCCATTGCCCAGATTGTAAGTCCTTGAGTACACAGATATGTCACATTATTTACTGCATTCACTTACCCCCTTTGCCAGCTGTGCATACAGCATGTAATCTAAATCCGTTTTTTGCAAGTTGTCATGGAGTTCAGATATGTCGCAGTTCAATATTATGGTATGGTGGTTTACAAAATTAGATGCTTAATCATTTGTATCTTGGCATATCTGAATTCTAATAGACAAACTTGAAACTTTCTTGTGATTTGCCTATCATGCTGTGGTTCCCTTACTGCCAAGTTCAGAGCTCATGTTAAATTATACCAATTCATTGTGTTAAGATCCGCTGTTTAACTCAATATTTTTGTGTGGTGTACACAGAATATAATAAAGTTTAGAAAAATAATTTGTAACAGTTTAAAAAAAAAATGTAATTTAAAAAGTTTAAAACCACGTTTAAATAATTTATGTAGTTCTGACAGAAATATGGTATTGAATATAGTTTTAATCTGTCAAGAACATATTTTTCACATGCATGTGGCCATTCAAATAACAGCATTTTAGAGGCCATCATCAGTTTAGGAATTAAAGGAACACTATAGGATCAGGAGCACAAATGTGTATTCCTGACCTTATAGTGTTATAAAAACTATGCAGGTGTAGCCTCCTCCCCCCCCCCTAGCTGCTTAAAGGACCACTATAGTGCCAGGAAAACATACTCGCTTTCCTGGCACTATAGTGCAATGAGGGTGCCCCCACCCTCAGGGACCCCCTCCCGCCTCTGGAAGGGGGAAAGGGGTTAAAACTTACCTTTTTCCAGCGCTGGGCGGGGAGCTCTCCTCCTCCGATCATCCTTCTCTCCTCCCCGTCGGCTGAATGCGCACGCGCGGCAAGAGCTGCGCGCGCATTCAGCCGGTGGCATAGGAAAGCATTATCAATGCTTTCCTATGGACGCTGGCGTGCTCTCACTGTGAAAATCACAGTGAGAAGCACGCAAGCGCCTCAAGCGGCTGTCAATGAGACAGCTGCTAGAGGGAATGGGGGAAGGCTTAACCCATTCATAAACATATATAAAAAAATGGGTTAACCCTAGCTGGACCAGGCACCCAGACCACTTCATTAAGCTGAAGTGGTCTGGGTGCCTAGAGTGGTCCTTTAAATAGGGTTAAATCTTATCTTATATTATCTTTATTCCAGCACTGTGTGGGTCTGCTGGTGCCTGCCCTCACCCTGGCCCCACTCCACCACCTTGGCTGAGATCAGGGGAATTGACGATCTTAACCAATCCAATGCTTTCCAATGGAAAGGCAGTAGATTGGTTGAGATGGTCAATGCAGATGTTCTCAGCCAAGGAGGCAGGGCAGGGGGCGGAAACAAAAGCAGCGCTGGCCAGTCAGCATCTCCTCACGGAGATGCATTGAATCATCTTTATGCAGAGCGTGGAGATGCTGAAGTCAGTGCTGCACATTGAGCAACGCTGACACATGAAGCACCTCAAGTGGCTGTCTGAATGACTGCCACTGGAGGTGTCCCTAGACAGCAAAGTAAACACTGCAGTGTTTACAGCAAAAGTCTGCAGGGACATACTATACACACCAGAACAATGACATTAACAACTACTTATTACTAGAGAGTCTGTTAGTTGGTTTGGATAACCAACTCTTTTAACATGTGTTTTGTTTTTGATATTTTTTAAAGCGTCTCTGTCACCAAAAATACACTTTATCTAATCTGCTTCTATATGGATCCCAGTGTATACATCTGGTTTCTTTTTTTGGTTGTTGTTTTCAAAATAAAAAGGACAAGTAGGAACTATTTATATATATATATATATCTATCTATATCAATCAAATTGACAAAACTTGACAATGAGTGGAGCTTAATGCAAGTTTCTATTTCAGTTCTGATCAAATTTACACACAATCCTCAGTAAAATCAATTACACAGAAAGGTAAACAGCAGACATTCCCAGATATTGATATAAAGGTCAATGAAGAAAATAAAATAAATATAAATAAAGGCAAGTGGCAAGTAGGGGAGTATAATTATTAACATACAGGGGGCATAAAGAAAACCAAAATAAAAAACATGACTGGTCCGCTTTACGCAGTGAACATATGATCTTAAAAGCTACACCAGATTTTCTGAGGTAAGGAGAGATTTGTCCCCCCCATTCCACCTGGTTCCTACATCACGTAGCCATTTACAAAGATATTGTATAATAGCATTATAATTGCAGAAAAACAAAGGGATCTTATAATAACCCTCATAGAAATCCAATTAAATTTGCTCTCAATGAAGTCATCACCGTTAAAGGAAAACTATAGCGTTAGGAATACAAACCTATATTCCTAACACTATAGTGTCCAAGTTGCTGATTAGTTTTAGACCTCCCTTGTTTTCACCAAAAACTTACAAAAACATTTTATTTACCTTTTCTTCAGCACTGAGACTCCTTTGGAAGACATACATTAGATGTGTAGTTAACTTTGTAATGTAAACATTGCAGTTTTACATTGCAGGGTTAAAATTACAGGGCAGCTGTACCCAGACCACTTACTTGAGATGAAGTGGTCTGTGTTACTTTAGTGGTCCTTCAAATCGGGTTCTTTAGCTATGCCATGCTCCCCAAAGACATCAATATAGAGGTTGTGACATTTAATCATTTCAGTACAGATAGAATATCAAGGTGGTAACCCCAGACTGTGTTATCATTGGAATCTGCCACCTTCATCCATTGATTTAGAGTCTGCAATAAAATCCCTATAACAGCACTGGATCTAGGATACTCTTGGATGACTTGGCACCAGCACACCTTCCAACAATTTGGGAGGGAACAATCCATGTGTACAAACAGGAAAAGCCATACTGGTAAATATATTTATGTATGTATGTGTGTGTGTGTGTGTGTGTGTGTATATATATATATATATTCCTTTTGCTTGTTTGGTCTGGCATGGCTTCTCCTGTTTGTACACATGGATCTACGCAACAACCTGGATGCAAGTAGGCTTTTTTTACATAGATACAATATGGATGAATTTATTTTCAAAAACAAAGTGGTGTGCAAATACAAACTTATGTACTTTTTTTTTAAGCTTGTACATACAATCGTTCAATATTCAATAAAAGATAATCGAGAAAAACAGAAATAGAACAGATAATGTGCAATATGTAGTTTTAAGTATGTAATCCAAGTAAATATTTAAGAACACTAACTCACACAGAAAATAAAAACATTGTGAATATATAGTGAATAAATTTAGACTTTTTTTTTTACTGCTCCTCTTCCCCCCCCTCCTCTTGTGATTACTTCTCACATGATCTGTAAATAAAATCAACAATTAGTGACTGACCCTTATCCATTAATCATTATTTTTCCCATCAATCATTTCTTTTTTTGATGCCGCTGGAGGAATTCAAAATCATGAATCAAAGGGAAATTGAGCATTGCGTGTTTCATTTTTAAGTCATTTGCCTATATTTCAGTAGGCAAATTCGTCGGGAATTCAAACAATCACCTGAAGGGCCCAAATTAGGATGCATTGCAGTTCATAACAAAATGAATCTCCAAATATAATAATTACTACACACAGTTTACATGACCAAAAGGTAGACATTTCTGATTGCAGGATCCTACATGTAACATTTTGCTTCTTAGTTTATTTACTAAAGTGTGACTTGTTTGGAATTCAGTATTAAATCAATTTCACATTTTTAACCTATGTAGCTGAACTGAAAACACATCATAACCTTTACTTTAAAGCCCAAAGAATCCTAATATCTTTGCAACTTATGTGTTATGCCAAGGAATTTAAAGTATTTTTAGTGAACCTTATATGAATACAGGTATTTATTTCTAACAACGTGTTGGTAACTTATATACTGCATTTTTTTTACCAGGGGATTGCACCAAAAGTTGAGTTTTCTACTAGAACAACCATTAAGGAAACATCACGTGATTTAAAAAAGAAGTGTCACGTAAGTTTATTATTCCGGCTTTGTGAAATAAGAATAATGAACACTAATAAAAACATTTTTTCATTTTTTTTGATAAGAAAGATATAAAATGTTTTAGTTCTTTAATTCTGTTAAGCAAGTTAGCCTGTATTTCAGAGAACATGGATAAATGGGTCAAAGTTTACTCAATGATGAGTCCGTGGCGAACCGTTCGCGAACCGTTCGGCGAACCGTTCGGGACATCACTAATGGTGGACAGAGTGCCAGGAGGAAGAAATTAAATTAAAGCGGATTGGGTGACAACATCAAGCATGCATTCATAATAAACCTGGAATTCAAACTATGATCAGCAGTCAGAAAATGCACATATTTTACAGTACACTATGCTGTAAGCTGCTTACAGGCACATTCAGAGAATATTTTATTTAACATGAAATTATATAATGTAGTACTCTTTTTTTTTTTCAAAATACTCTCTTTTAAAGTTGTGCATATGTAACCTATCTGCTATCAGCAATAATATGCAGCAAAGATATAAATTGGCCTATAAATCTAGATTTGGGCCCCTGTCCAGCCATCTCCCAGGCAAGAGTGCGTAGAGGCACTCCTCATGTGTGCTACCATGAAAGAGTTTGGCCAGTATGGCTGACATGCACCTGTTTTGCATGTCAGCCATACTGGCTAACAAATTACACCATTAAATAAAACATTGAAAATCAATTATAACTTGTTTTAACCTTATTTTATGTGATGGTATGTTTTCTTTTAAATGTTTCATTCCACCAGTCCCCCTTGTGTATTATTCCCTCAGGACCCATGTGTCTCATTTCTTCTCCTCCCTTCCGAAGTGTTTTACCCACCAGTGTTAATTTTGGCGAAAATTTCAATTTAGTCTTTTGACTAAAAAGCCTTTTTACTTTTAGTTGTATTTAGTCATATGAATTGTTTTAGTTTTAGTCTAGTTTTAGTTGACTAAAATCCGACTAAAATTGTTAATCGACAAAATTAACACTGGAGTAATCCCTCCTGGGATCACTGGGCTCTTTCTGCACAGTTCATATGATGTTCATCCTAGCTACGGCATCATTACTTTACTGGGCACTTAGTGGAGCTGTGGAGAATTATCGCATTGTGAAATCCGCTACCTCGCTGCCACTTTTTTTTGGTTAGAAACCTACTGTGCAAGTAGGCAGATGCTTACTCTGCCTAGCAAGCAACACCCTCAAATGAGCGACGACAGTGGCAGTCTCCTAGGCTGCTTACACTTGCTTGCATGATTTTTTTCACAGCCGTTTGTAGGCCTGAATCTTGCAACAATCTGGCCTTACAAGGCTATAGCCTGCTGGCTCCTGCTGTATGCTTCACCATGTTGACTGACAAGTGCAAAGGGCAGATTTTATAACAATGATTAAGAGGGAGCCAAGATGCAGTCAATTCCAGGATGGATGTCAAACTTATTCAGCCTCAGCCAGTTTATCCAAAACAATATTATCGGGACAGTAGGAGTAAAGGAGGTTAATGGAATTAACTGCCCAAGTCAGGGGCACCTTCCATAAATATTAGGCCCCATGGGACAGCTGGCAGGGAGAGGAGTGTGAGGTAACTTGGTGCAAAAAACAGACCTTTCTCAAGTGGCTCGTCTGTCTACTACTATTACTTGGCTTTTAACTTCCTTCTCTTCTTTCTCTTATTCTCTTTTGTTTCTCTTTCTCAGTTGTTTTTCACCATAAAAAGTTAAAATTGGACAGCAAGCTAAAGAGAATGATGTTTCCATTTGGAAGTACTGATTGTTTCCTGTCACTTTGTTAAGCCCGCTATTGGATGTACTGACTATACGCTATTATACTTCCTGTCTGCCAATAAATAAAGAATTGGGGGGAAAAAAAGGAGATTAACGGCTGGATCAGAGGAGGTAGCTGGAAAGGCGTAATGTGGAAATGAAATGTTCATATTTGTGTCTTTTCTAGAATTGTCATATAAATAGACCATATATTTGTCTTGTGCTCCACTTTGCTGTCGCAGGTTGACCATCCACAAGCCCGAAAATATTTATCAAAATCACAAGGTAATTCATGGTCTCCCGAAAATAAAAGTGGCTCTACAAAGAGCTCAGAGAAGAACTATAACAATGCGACACTACCATCAAAATCCCGATCTCCATCTCCATACACTAAAGGGCGAATGTGCGTGCTTAACAAAGACAACCAAAAGAGACTTGCTCGTTTAAACCTGGGCAATTCGGAGTCCAAGTCTAATTCTGAAAAGAGACCTCCTTTTATTGTTAGACACGTAAGTATTGAAGCATATTTTTTAGCATTACAACATTTGTGAAACTTTGGTCTGTGGAAATGATCTGCTGTGTTTATGTGTTTAACCCAAAGGTGGAAAGGTAGCAGCATTTGAGGTCTTTATTGTAATGTGCACTAAATAGTATAAATACCTCCCAACAATAGAGATGGGCGAGGCCCAGAGGGGGCGCAGACTGTGATGTGACCTGTGCCAGCAAAAGGCAGGCCTGCCTGGAAATCGGGACTCTCGTGCCGAAAACAAGACTTTCGGGAGTCCTGACTATACTTGACCAATACATTGAACTTGAATAATTTGAAATGTTGATACAATTAACTTTAGTTTTCTACTTTGCCAAGAAGACACCTGTTTCCTTTTTTTGTTTTTTAATTGTTGAATTGTGCATTGGATAATGAACATGGTTACCTACTTTAAAGATATTACATAACCTACATTGTGTTTAACGATATTGGGTTGAAACATATTTAGTAGTGTAGAAAGTAGACTCACTAAACGATATTACTTTTTCCCATTGCATCGGAGTCCAGAATCTGTCCTCTTTACCCCAGGTTATGTTTCTTTTGTGTACTTCTTCGTACACTAAACCCAGCTCACAGTTTTCAAATACAACTATTGCTAAAGCACAAATAAATCATACTAACCAGCATTACTAAGTGAAATCAAAAGCTGAAAGCTACAGATTAGAATAGATATAAAGCACATTTGATATGCCAAAACTATAGGTAAGAAATATGCAAATAAAGCTTTTTAAAACATACACAGTTCTCACCACAAGATTTTTCAAATTTTAATATTTGTACAGTAGGTCAATGGGAGGAACAAATTATTATAAAATAATTATTTATGCTGTCATTAAGCTTTAGGCTGGAGAATGATCCCATTTTTATTAAAATAAATATTCTGCAGTGTGCACTGGAATAAGGACTAGGAAGGGGCTGAAAACTCCCAGATAGTGCTGGTCAAGTCGCAATTTTTTTGAAGGGGCTGCTGTTCATACATAGGTTTGTTGTGCAAACACTGTATAGCAAGACTTCATATATTTATAGTTTAGCAGTATAGTTTGGTAGCTGGTAGCTTTACAGCAAGTGGGAGCACTGGTTGCAAGTATCTTCATAAATTCTGTCTTTTATTAACTTGTATGACTAGTTTAATTTATGTTTTTTTTTATTTCATGAGGTTACTAGAAGTATACATATGTTTGGCAGCTGTACGAATGCTTTCTTTAGGGACAGATCAGAGCACTCAGCAAATCTGTCATGGTCAAGAGGCAGAGGCTAACATAGTTATAACTGTTGGCTGACCCGATGTAAGCTTACTGCAAAGGCTGCTGAATATGTTATTATAGTTTAATGTGCTGATATGAATTAGTATGGAAATACAGAGTTATGCAATGCCTTAGACTTACCTCCAGTCTGGGTGGAGCAACAGCAACCTGGTCACCCTCATTTAGCGTTAAACTATTTAAAAACAGATAAACACTGTACAGTGGCACGGTGTCAATGGAAACCAGACTTAATAACCACTTCAACGAGTTGGAGAAGTTATGAAGCCTAGAGTATCCCTTTAAAAATAGAGATTAACAGTAGCCTTTGCTGCCCCTTTTAATGCTACTCATCCACAGCGCTTTCAGTCAACATAGGTTGAGCAGGATCACACTCAATAATGTGATAATTTATTTTACACATTATCAGAACACTTGAAGAGAGGCCATCTATAATTTCATGGAGAATCTTTCTTTTTGTTAAACCACTCCAAACCCAGGGGATGACCCTCATATATTTTTATATCACCATTCTCACAGCATTCCAATTTTATTGAGTAAACGATTGAGTAAAAGATTGTTGATTTGATTTTTTTGAGTACAGTTATATTTGTTACACAAAGATTTCATTATTACTTAAAGGGACACTATAGAGTCTGGAACACAAACATGTATTCCTGACCCTTGAGTGTTAAAACCACCATATTGCCCCCCTGATATCCCTTACCCCTGTAAATATAGCATAATATTACCTTTATTCCAGTCTGCTGCTGCTGGCTCTGCCTCTGATCTGCCTGCTTGGCTGACATCATCAGAAGTGGTGGTCTGAGCCACTGTCAAGGAGGCAGATTGGGGCAGAACCAGCACAAGCCAAACACAGCCTTGGCCAATCAACATCTCCTCATAGAGATGAGGAAAGTTTACACTGTGCAGAATTGCCCCAGGAAGCACCTCTTGTAGCCACATGAGGAGTGGCCAATGGAGGTATCCCTCGGCTGTAATGTAAACACTGCCTTTTCTCTGAAAAGACAGTGTTTACTGCAGAAAGCCTGAATGGAATGATTCTACTCACCAGGACAAATTCAATAAGCTGTAGTTGTTCTGGTGACTAAAGTGTCCCTTTAAAGATAGTCCCAGATATGTGTATACAATGTTATGGCATACATTTGCTATGAAAGATTACTGAGCACTATAATTGTATATAATGTTGTGAACAAACGTATAACTCCCACTATTAAAAAAACAAACAAACAAACCTTGTCTTATGCAGGTTGATGGTTCCAAAAGTTTGGATTGGATTTCACCGCCGAAATCAGCCAAGGCCAAAAAGCACTCTAGATCATCTGATAGATTAAATCAACATCAGTTAAGAAGAGGTAAACATGCTAAAGATTAAAGGTTCCCTTTTTGATCTGGCTTTTTTTTACATCACGTAGGACTTTTCAAATAATTGTCTGTTGTGTGACTCTGAGCTAAATCCAAAGAAAAACTGGACTGTACTTGTAATGCAGTGTAATAAAAATCAGTGTTTAGATATAACCCAAATAAAAACTTGCATTCATTTAATAATGCTTTTTTCCTTTGGAGGTATATCTAAAAACAGCTTGCAACAGCTGCAGTTCTCTTGTCTCCTGCATTTGCAAATACTCTCCTAACCCAGGCCAGACTTTCTGTGGCTGTCCAATCACAGACTTCCCAATGCAGCACAATGAGAAGTCTTTGCAAGGCGGGGGCTCTGAGCAATTGCTGCGTCTTGAGTTTAGCACCACTGAGCTAGCCAAACCAGGAAGTAATAGGACCTCTTACCTGCTTGAAAGCCAAGTTAGTTTTTAAAAGTGTCAATTTCTATTGAAATCTGCAGCTTTTGCAAAATGAAAAAAAATAGGACACACTCTTCACACATAAAACTTTTAAGCAAGCTAAAGTGCTTTACACAGGGCCGGATTAACATAGGGACTGATGATTTAAAAAAATATATATATATATATATATTTTTTTTACTGCTCTTCACATGCTCTTACTTAAGTATGGAAACTTAAGAGGGATGGGGAGGGACATTGTGTGTGCTTGCTGACAATTAAATTAGTTAAGGTAAAGCTGACTTTGTGCACTATGCAAATAATCTTGCTGCTTCGGTCTCTCTAACACAGTGACATGTTCCCTTTCTTCTACACTTAATACATACAACTTTTCTCTGTCCCAAATTGTATAACAGGAGCTTCTGCCTGCTAGTAAGAAAGTAGGGAGAGGACTGGACAAGTGAATGCTGGGTGACAGTCCCTAGAAAAGCGTGGAGCAAGCGCATCATTACAAATTTATGCCAAACTCAGGCTGCTGTCTACATAGTTACTTAGTTGGTCAGCCTGCATGACTGGCTGGCAGCCTGACATGCATTCACGCTAGGCTGGCCTTTCAATTCTTTGGGCAGATATGTCATCTTTCTGGGCATGTTTACCCCTGTTGGCAGTTCTAGTTACGTGATTCGCATCAGTGGCCCACCCTTTTACGCCGCCCACCAACATCCTGCTTCACCGGAGCTGCCGTTAGGGGTTATGGATTTACTTGAAAGATGAAAGCAAGAGATTAGCATAGGGTATGTGTTTTCTTATAGCTGCATCTTGTGTGTTGCCCTCCAGCACCACCTCCACCACATACATGACACGTGGAAGGTATGACTGTTTTAGTATTTTTTGTCGATAAGGTTCAGTAATTAGACTCATCACAATTGTCAGCACCAGGCCCAATGGGCTCTTAATCTGGCCCTAGCTTTAGATATTGCTTTGTTAAACACAAAATGCAAAATACATAAGACTTCAAAGATAATGGAACAATATTAATCTAAACATCATAAAGGTATATGACTAAGTAGAAATGCAAACAATTGGCGCTTATTTAAAAATATATCTGATGGGGAGCTACCTCTGGATCTGGCAAGCCGCAGGGTCACGGAGCTCCATTGGCGATGCACACAAAAAGCCCAAATAAGTGCATATAAAGAGGTATAACCTGCCCAGTTTAACTCTGGTGTTCATCCTCCAGTGATGGGGCGGAAGACTAAGAAGCCCCAGCTGAAACAGCCCAGATTCTCCGCCGATATCGGAGACTCGCTGCGGAGGCCGCATGGAGAGGTGGGGCCTGAAATTGTGGCGGACCTCGTGAATTTCTCAGTCGCATCAGAGGATCACTCCCTCCACAACATGGATGATCTAGGCCAGGCCTGCACAACCTTTGGCCCCCCAGATGTTTTGAACTACAATGCCCAAGATTCTTTGAATGAAACAGATAGCCAAGGAATTAAGGCAGTTTTAGCGCAAAACATTCGGGGGCGGGGGGGAGGCGAAGGAGTGCAGGCCACCCAAGAACACTCAACCCACCGAGACTGTGCCATCCTGTAACCACAGACATACTCACCAGCCTATTGGCGGACCTCCGTCAAAGTCTTTCATCTGAAATAGCACAGGTCAGAGAGGATGTCAAAGGGTTCACACAGTCGAGCAGACCACTACAGCCCACACATCACAAGTCATAGAGCTACAAAAGAAGATCAGTGACCTCACTTTGACCCATGCAACCCCCAGCCACCAACCACCTGCACTGGAAGACAAAAGAATGAGGAAACACCTGAAAATCAGGGGCCTAGCAGACAGTCACTACTGCAGCACTGCCTCATTTTCTACTCAGTCTTTTTGTGGCCCACCTGCCTCTTAAACAGGCAAAAGGCATAATGTTAGACGGGATTGTCTGTCTCCTTAAGCCTCCATCAGCTGCGGCTTCAGCTACTAGTGACCTACTGTTAAAATTTCAGAATGGCCAAGACAAGGCCACCATCTTGAATGCAACCAGAGGGAAAACGCCATAGAGGTGCGAAGAAATGGACCTTGCCTTTTTCTCCGACCTTTCCATCACGACACTGCAGTGGAGGAAGTCCTCTCATATCACTCTTGTCGAATCAAGGTGTTAAATACTGCTGGGGAACCCCTCACATTCTTATCATACAGCACCAGAATGTGGAATACAAAGTGTCCAGTGTCCGACACCTCACAGATAGACTCTATCTTGACTAGGCTTGGTCTGCATCGCATTTCCACATCTACAACTCCAACTTGCTCAACTTGGAAGTGAGACGACCAGTGAGGAAAATCAGCAAAATTCAAACTTAATATATAAAAACCTTGTTATGGAGAAAAAAAGGCCTTAGAGTGGATGCATGCCAATTATGGGTAATAACAATGAGGCTATGTCTAGCTCAACCTGCAGCCCCCCAGATGTTGCTGAACTACAACTCCCATGATTCTTTCAATGAAACAGATAGCCAGGGAATCATGGGAGTTGTAGTTAAGCAACATCTGAGGGGCCGCAGGTTGGACAGCCCTGGTCTAGCTGAATTCATTAAATATGGTTAATTGTCTATAAATACAGTAAATCATTGTGAATGTAATTAATGCAATGTACCTTTATGCATGTAATTAATGAATAAACAGCTGTGTTTATATTTTCCCAGCATTGTCGTTTGACAGTTTTCAGGATGAAACTGCAGAAAAGGTAAGTTTATGAAGTAGAGGAAGGTGTTGGTTGTATGGTTGTATCCATCTTGTACCATAACATTGAATTAAATGTACCAAATGTTTCCCCAAAGACCTGTTATTAAATAATTCTTAATCCATGTTAAATGTGATGCCATTGAATATTTTATCAGGTTTTCTGTACCTAAAATGAAATAACTGATGAAAAGATTAATAGACTTCTTAATTTTATTTGCTTAAGGTGCCAAAACATTTACACCTCAATTTGATAGGCAGCATATTTAGTGGTGTCTGTTCTATTCAATTTAACTGGTGTTGCTCCCCTAATAAGACATTTATACCTGGTCTCACTAGGCATAGCATGTGTGCCAGTAAATGTTTTGTTTTGAGCCTGTGAAACTGCAACAGTATTTAGTAAATATCAAATGGTGTTGCAGTTTCTAATGTGCACCCTTTAACCCTTTACTAATTGTACTCATAGCAAAGTCGCTCCTGTTAGAAAATAGCAATTATGGTGTAACTTTGCTGTAACGCCACAGAAAAGCCATAAAAGGCTGTTGGGCTCTAGTGAATCGAATTGTCAATGTTTTGTCAAGTGGAATAGCACTTTTAGTACAATAAAATAAAGTTGCAGCATGTAGTATACAAAAAGTATAGAAAATCAACTCAAGCTAAATGCTACTTTTTTATCTTTTCTGTTAATCAGAAATATCTTGATAAAGAGGATTTAAGGTCTTCAAAAAAAAATGTATCATTTGAAGATTCTGGCTCTGCTTTCGAGTTTAATACACGTTCCCCACAAGATGAACACACAGATCAAGTGCTTAGGAGTTCTCTTCGTAAACGGTTAGTATATTGACTTTATAAAAATACATTAAAGCAATGGGTTTCACACTTTTTGTGTTTGCGGCTCCCTTTTGAACCTCACAAATTCCCCTGTCATTTGTATTCCATGAGTAGGTCCTTTACCCCAAGTCTGCTTAGACCCATGGCCTCATACAGTCAGTTCCCTAACCTCTTACATGCTGTCCCATACTCTTAACTCCTGGACCTCTTACTGTTGGTTCCTCAGCCTCTTAAAGATGATAACATATTGCACCCTTGACACTGTTCTCATTTCTCCATCCCCTTTCTGCATTGCTCTCCCACCTATCTCCTCTGCTGATTCACCCCTGTTTTCTAGTAATCTTCCTCCATGTTTCCATATTACATCTCCATCCTTTCTACTGCTCTCTCCCTCCTTTACGTTTAAGTGGATTTCCCCACCTATTGCTATTTTTCCAAATCTACCGTACCATCAAATTGCAAGATTTGCACCCAAATCTAGGCAAAGCACTGGCAGATTTTTTAGTGTATACAGTCATATACACTACTACTACTGTGGGCTTCATTGCTTTTCATCTCTGTGAGACAATCATTAGTGCTGTTTGTTACTGTAAGGTTTTGTAGTATTATATGTCACATTCTTGATTTAAACAGATGTCTCGTAAAACAAATAATAACTGCTCATGCTATAGTACTACGTATGCTGTTCCTTCCGAAGTCATATGATTTGTGGAATATTAGTATTATATAACATGTTGTTGACCGCTGTCCTTAGAGAGCCCGCTAGATATGCCGCTAAGTGAGAGCAGGAACTAGGGGTATCACTCTTAGACCAACAGAGGAAAAAAAATAAATATACTCTCATATTGTAGCACTAGGATCTGTACTACAATATATATGCCACTTTTACAAACATATATGTAGGCACATTCTCATATACATAAGTTATTAAAATACACATGTAACGGATCGATGGGCACCCCGACTGGGTACCTCCATTGAAGAATGCTCCTCGCACTTCCTGAGGGCTCCAAGCACTCCAGCTGACACCATAACCACCGTGGACTCCTCCAGAGAGCAGGACAGGAACAAGTTCTTACAAGAGCTTAGTAGTGATTTAGCAACGGAGTATGACAAGCATACTCCCTTGTAGCAGATTCCCCCAATAAGAGACGGCACTCCAAATTGAGGGTGAAGTAGAACTGATTTACTGGGGCTACCTGTCTGGCTTTTATGCAGGTCTCCCACCTGGTGGACACTCCCCTAGGGGACCAGATGGAAGACTGGGAAACATATTGGACATTGACCAATCACAAGCTTACAATCCCACAATGCATCACAATCCCTCCTCTCTGTCCGGGAGATAATTGGGAAGTAATCCAATTATCTCCAAGGACAGAGGCAAAACTCCATTAACGACATGGGAGACAAAGGACAATAACAGAAATAAAAATACATACTGTTACATTTATCACATAGAACATACACATTCTACCTATCCCCAGATAGCTTAGATCTGAGCGCCCATTACTACCTGATGGCGCTCAGATCACATACATACAGTTCAATCGCCATGGAGCCAAAGTCTTTCATACAGTCTTTCAGTATACGGCTGGGCTCCATGGCATAGCTATCTGGGGTAACACTGCTCACATAGGGAAAATAAAAGGTTTTTTTAATGCAGGGCCATAGTCCAGCGACAAAAGGTGGGCAACCAGGCTCCTCCAGTGGCCAGTGGCGAGGTTGGTTCCACCACATTTCCCCCCTTTACCAATCAGACTAACAGGGTATCTGACCTCCTGTCGGTCAGTGCCCTGGTTAGTCCAGCAACCCACCCAAAGAACACAATTAGCAGTACAGCCCACCCACAATAAAGGGTTACTACACCTGGGGAAATGAGTAGCTTGCCTTTGTCCAGGTGCTTCACCACTGCTGTGTGGGGTGCTGCTATTCCGGGTCGGTGAGTTGCTGAGTGGGCAGCGGTACACTGCCCTGGTGCCAGCACTATAACGGGAGTAGCCTGGTTGGAGCCCCGCTGAGGAGAAGGGGTAGTAGGCTGCCCTCTCTGGATCTGGTGCTGCTGCTGTAGGGGGGAGACCGACTGTCTCCCCTTTGGGCAACCAGCCCTGCTGCTGGAGGACAGGACCGACCGTCCCTACCCCCTGTGGTTTGGGCACAGAGACTACTGTCCCATCTACACCGGTGTGGGGCTTATCATCTCCCCTTGGTGGGCTAGGCTGCTGCTGGGGAGAGGGGGTAACAAGCACCTCTCCCATACATACTTTCAGCCGCTGAGGAGAGGGGGTAACAAGCTCCTCTCCCTGACACTCTTTCTGCTGGTGGAGAGGGGAAACGACTGTCTCCCCTTTCGATATATTGTCCCGCTGCTGGGGAGCGAGACCGACTGTCTCTGCTCCCGGCAGGACACACTGCCGCTGGGGAGGAAGGACGACACCTTCGGCTCCCTGTAACACACACTGCCGCTGGGGAGGAAGGATGGCACCTTCGGCTCCCTGGGACTCACTTGACTGCTGGGGAGAGGGACCAACTGTCTCCTCTGCTAAGGACACACACTGCCGCTGGGGAGGAAGGACGGCACCTTCGGCTTCCTGTAACACACACTGCCGCTGGGGAGGAAGGACGACACCTTCAGCTCCCTGTAACACACACTGCCGCTGGGGACGAAGGACGGCACCTTCATGTCCCTGTAACTCACTCGGCCGATGGGTTCTCTCCCCCCTGGCCAACTCTGCTAGGAATTGCAGATACTCTCCTATTATTTTCTTGATGTGCTGCAAGGATCTCTCCGAGGGGTTGAGTCCATAGACCACCAGCACCGCATTAACCTCTCTGTCAAACTGCTCCTGAGTGTAGCCGGGCGCCATGCTTGCTCTGCCGAAGTTGGTTCCTTTGTAGATAGGGGTGCTGTACGGATACTAGCGTTGCCCTCAATTTGTAATCCAGGAACTGGTGTTTTCTTGTAGCTGTCCTTCTGGGCTGTGGGAATGATCCCACTGCTGCCACCAATGTAACGGATCGACGGGCACACCGACTGGGTACCTCCTTTGAAGGATGCTCCTAGCGCTTCCTGAGGGCTCCAAGCACTCCAGCCGACACCATAACCACCGTGGACTCCTTCAGAGAGCAGGACAGGAACAAACTCTTACAAGAGCTTAGTAGTGATTTAGCAAGGGAGTATGACAAGCATAGCAATCCCTTGTAGCAGAATCCCCCAATAAGAGACGGCACTCCAAATTGAGGGTGAAGTAGAACTGATTTACTTGGGCTACCTGCCCGGCTTTTATGCAGGTCTCCCACCTGGTGGACACTCCCCTAGGGGACCAGATGGAAGACTGGGAAACATATTGGACATTGACCAATCACAAGCTTACAATCCCACAATGCATCACAATCCCTCCTCTCTGTCCTGGAGATAATTGGGAAGTAATCCAATTATCTCCAAGGACAGAGGCAAAACTCCATTAGCCACATGGCAGACAAAGGACAATAAAAGACATAAAATTACATACTGTTACATTTATCACATAGAACATACACATTCTACATATACCCATTTAGCTTAGATCTGAGCGCACATTATTACCGGATGGCGCTCAGATCACATACATACAGTTCAATTGTCTTTCGGTATACATGGGCTCCATGGCTTAGCTATCTGGGGTAACACTGCTCACATAGGGAAAATAAAAGGTTTTTAATGCAGGGCCATAGTCCAGCGGCAAGAGGTGGGCAACCAGGCTCCTCCAGTGGCCAGTGGCGAGGTTGGTTCCACCACAACACACATACCACAAAAGAGAGAATCATACACTCTCTCCCCCTCCCTCCACTCTGCCAGTCTCTATCAATGCTTTTACTGACAGAATTTTGTTAATCCATCTGAATGCTTATGTCTACTCATCTAATTGCCCTGGTGGCTAAGAGTGAACAAACTATCTATACATTCATGGCTCTCTTTGTTCTCCTAAGTGGCATCCTAATATGCAGCACTGACAGTGAGTTATATCATACCACTTCATGGCCCTGTCAGTCATAAGAACATATACATGTGTATTGACACTCTCCCATTCCCGATGGTGCTGGTATCAAGGTGGCCCTCAAAACAACCTCTAATAAATACAAAAATTATAAAAATGATACCGCACTCAAAATTAGATGCAAAAAAAATCACAAGTATTTAATTAACAAATTTGCACATTCAGTATAATTGCTATAATAGTAAATGCTTTGCAATCTTTTACTCTGTAATTAACGCTACAGCACATGTACTCACATCCCTAAGGCAATATTTAATATACCAGAGAGTATATAAATGCTCATATTAACATATATTAACACATAGAACATAGATAAAATCCTTAATGTGCATGCTTTCTATGCCACAAAGTCCTACAGTGTATATTGCTGTTTTAAATATAAATGTAGTCATGTTTGTGTTTTGCTTTTTCTATGTGCGCACATGATTGCATGTGTGGTTGAAGGAGGGGTTGCATCAATCCGGTTGGGATTAGAACAGCCGAAAACTGTTCAGGGTGGAAACTGAAACACATCACTGTGTAAATATAGCCATAGACCTAGCAAAAGCTTGAAAACTAATAATTTTCTTCTATATTTAAGGTTTCAACGTGAGGAAAGCACTTGGGAGATTATACATAACCGAGTGCGCAGTCTCTTATCCACGCACAGTGCAAAACAAAGACTGTCTTATGTGAGTATGAAATGTTCTTACTACTTTACTGTAACATCAATATTACCTAAGTACATAGGCTGAAAAAAGACATGCATCCATTAAGTTTAGACTTTTTCACATCTGTTTATGCTGTTGATCCAAAAGACGACAAAAATGCCAGTGTGAAGCATTTCAAATTTTGCAACAAACTAGGAAACATTTATTCTTGACTCCACAGTGGCAGTGAGATCTCACCTTGGATAAAGTTGTTACCCCACCTATTAAAAATTATATCCCTGGATATTCAGTTTTTTCACATATTCACCCAGTTGCTGTTGAAATATCTGTATAGACTCTGATAAAACCATCTCTTCAGGCAGAGAATTCCACATCCTTATTGTTTTTACTGTAAAAAAGTTTCCTTTGCCTTAGACCCAATCTCCTTTCAATCTAAATGCGCGCCCTTGTGTATAGTCCTGTCTATGAATAGATTTCCAGACAATGCTTTGTATTGGCCTTGAATATATTTGAATAATGCTATAATATCCCATCTGAGGTGCTGTTTTTCTAAACTAAAGAGATTTAAAGTTGTTAACTTTTTTCATAACTAAAATGTTCTATTCCTTTTATTAATTTAGAAGTCTGCCTCTACACATAACGCCATAATATCCCTATTTAGAACAGGTGCCCAAAATTGCACAGCTTATTCAAGGTGTGTTCTTACCATTGATTTATAAAGAAGCAACATTATATTCTAATCCTGAGAATTAATGCCCCTTAAATGACTGTTGACTGACATTGCATATTGTTAGTATGTTGTCTATAACAATTACCAAATCCTTCTCATCTGTTATTATCCCCAAATTCACTGCCATTTAGAGTGTAAGCTGCTTGTGCATTCTTTACCCCGAAGTGCATACCTTTGCTTTTATCTACAGAAAATGTTATCTGCTATTTGAGTCCCCTAATCTATCTAAAACCCTCTGCAGCAAAGTAATATGCACCTATTCTATGCATTAGCATTCAGTATGCATGTTATAGCATGGTCGACCTGCTAGAAAATATATATCAATTGATATCTCATACTATTTTAGACTTGCAAAGGTTAATCTAGATACTTATGCAGAGAGATGCTCCCAGTATAGGTACATAAGCTATTGTTTGCTATAAATGTTTGCTTAACCTGCAACTCTGATGTTAGTTGGACTCTATTACTATATGTAGTTAAGAAATTGCTTGTATATTGTAGTTGACCTAAACTAGTAAGGTTTTCACCAGTATCCAAACAATGATCTTGGCGGACCAGAAAGGGTTAAGTGTTTATACAGAGGAATGTTATCAGGAATTGCGTATAGTACAACTGTTGTGGTAGTTGATTTAGATTGGTTTTGTGAAGTTAGGGGCGGGATCTCGCTCCGTTTAAATAAGGGATGGCTAGGAAGGACATGGTTGGTTAGTCCTTGATGAAGGTGCCGGAAGGACACTGAAACGCGCGTCAGACCCGTTGTGATTTTTCTGTTTTTGTTTTTATGGGACACTTTTCTTACTAGGGTGTCTTTAGCTGTGGGTGTATGTAGGCTGCGCCTGAGTGTTTTTTTTAATGATTTAAAATGGATGAAAGAATGCGTGCTTATAGCTATTTAACCTAAAATCGATTGGGCTTTGCTTTCACCAGTATAAGATTAGAGTGTATCCCCTGATCTAGTGCCAGCATTACTCTTAATTGTTCTATAAGCACCTATTCATTTTACAAACCACAAATCTACTATGTGATACAGAATATTTTTAGTTATATTATTTTTGCTTCAGTTTCAGGAGTTTATCATTATATCTCTAAAGACTACAGGTAGTTTTCCGTTTTCTTTATTTTTTTTCTTAGCAATTCCAATAAAGCATTTATTTTTAATACATTATATTGTAAGCAATTCCTACTATCTGTGGTGCTCCTTCCAATTTGAAGGGGGAACACTTATTTGTATCTTCAGTGAATTAATGCATTTAGGTTTACTTCCTTTTTATAGGTTTTGTTTGATGGTCTCTTGAGTTCAATCTTGTTGTGGATCTTTTCTGGTATCTTTGTCAATAAACATTATGAAAAGCATTAGAGTTGCTGTTCCTGCAGTGGCCTTATCACAATATACCTCCATTGATGACCCCAGTCACCCAGCATTATGACATTTTACATCAGCATTAATCTTTGTCTCTTTTTTAAATTTTCAGATCATGAGTGGAAGTACAGTATACACAATCTAAGATTTATGAATCCTCTATTTCAGGGGTAGGCAACCTACGGCACGTGTGCCATGCACGGCACTCGAGGTGTCTTTGCATGGCACTCAAGGCTGCAAGAGACAAACAGGCACTTGCCTATCAAGAGTCCCCGGGTAAACTTCAAATATCTGCTAATACGAAAAGGTCTCAGATCACTTCCTCCCAGCACTTGTGAATGGAAATCCACACTGAAGTAGAGAAGCCCACAGCAGCTATCGCAACTCCTGTCCTTGACCTGTACCTGGCCAGCCTGGTCCCCACTTGAACCCAGGGTATCCACCCACACTGCTAGATATACACAGAAATGCAGAATAACACTCCCCTCATACAAACAATATGAACAGCTCATACAAAAACATGCACACATGCAGCCTCTCACATGTAATACCCCAAACTGCCCCACACATACACACCCCACCAAACACAATGTAACATGTCCATCCACACACACAGTTTTCACAAGCAGCCCCCATAAACAGCGCACATTCATAGGTATCATACCGGATACCACAAACTACTCATAAACATATACAATACAATAGCTCACATACACACAAATACAAAGATGCAAAGCAACTAAAGCAAAACAACTAAATAAATAACACAAGTAGAATAGGGCAACATCGCACCTCAATTTAAAAAAATAGGACCAGCCCACTACGGGATATCACAATCCTATTTTGGCACAGTGCTGCTAAAAGGTTGAGTACCCCTGCTCTATTTTATAATTTGAAACAAATTGCAAATAATATACTATTATAATCTAGCATGTGTAAATAAATACATTGAAACATGTCTAAGGTCTATGTAACCAACAGGATGTCCCTACAATTAGTGGTCTTGTTCACTATGGTCAAAACCCACCAAGTGCTGTGAGAAATACTGACAGCTTATTATATTGGATTTACTTAAAGGACCACTATAGTGCCAGGAAAACAAACTCATTTTCCTGGCACTATAGTGTTAATAGGTCCCCCCCCCACCCTCAGGGTCCCACTCCCACCGGGGTTAAACACTTACCTTTCTCCAGCGCCGGGCTCCCTCATCGCTGGGGACTCTCCTCCTTCTTCCGACGTCTCTGAAACTGCTATGTTTACAGCAGGCAGGGTGAACCCTAGATGGACCTGGCACTTTATGGAGCTGAAGTGATCTGGGTGCGTATAGTGGTCCTTTAACATGCACTAAATAAATAATTCTAAACACGTCATAAGCACTTCTCTGGTTTGTAAGTATTGGAAAGCTATGCCATCTCTTGTATTTCCTGAGGGGCTACCTTATTAAGGCCTCAATTGCTTGATAAGCTTTCCATATGATTTCATATTTTTGGATACTTTTTAAAAAATGATCTAATAATATGAAAAATATTTAAATTTTTAATTGAATATATTTAATATAGTGATATATTTTTTTCTATATATATATATATTTTTTTAATATGTTGCAAAAATCATTTAAAAAGTTTATCCCAAAAAATATTAAACCATTTTGAAAGCTTATACAACAATATTAAATCATGGCCTAAAATAGGTGATACATTTAATAAAATTATCTCTTTGTACAAAGACTCATGTCAATTCCCTTATTTGGCAGTTATGCTAAACTTTGGTCTGATGTGTTTGGTAAAGAAATCCATATCCATAAGTAGTTTAAAAGATCTTTAATTCCAGGTAAGGTGCGAGGAGCAGCTTGTATGCATGCAAAAAAGGATATGATTTTCCTGTATCTTTTTTATTACTATATTTTTCTTTTATGTACAAAATTTATAATTTATTAACATATACACTTATTGGTTCCCCAAATACTTAAAGGTATACCCTGGGCACCAAAACTAATTTATATTAATGAAGCAGTTTTGGTGTATAGATCAGGCCTCTGCAGACTAACTACTCGATTCTCTGCCATTTAGGAGTCAGATCACATTTTTTTCTGTTTATGCAGCCCTAGACACACCTCCCTGACTGTGGCATACACTACCTGTCTGAAGGGTTCCACCTTCAAAGCTGCACCATAGGCGACTGCCCAAGTCGCCTATAGGAAGCGCCGGCCCTGTTCCCCAGTTGCCTGAGCGACAGCTAGTGAGATGTTTCTCTCTCCAGCTATAAAAGTGAATTTTTTTTGTTGAAATCTGCACTTTTGTAACTGTTGAAAAATATGACAGATTCCTTATACATGTAGAACCTAAGCAAACTGAAGTGCTTGATGTGTCTTCAGTATTCCTTAACACATTAATCAATAAGGGAAGTTAACTTTTAGCCTCTTTTTTCAGTAAGAGAGGCTGTGTCTCGGGCAGAGGAGGTGTGGCTAGGGCTGCATAAACAAACGTATTTAAAGAGACAATGTATACACTATAACAGGGGTAGGCACTATTTTATCAGCACTGTGCCGAAATAGGATTGTGATGTCCCGTATTCTGTTTGTGTTATTTATGCTGCAGTTGCTTGGTATCATTGGATTTGTGCGTATATGAGCCATTATAATGTATGTGTTCATGAGTAGTTTGTGGTATCGTTTATGATACAAATGAATGTGGGCTGTGTATAGGGGCTGCTTGTGAAATTGTGTGTGTGGATGGATATGTTACATTGTGTGTTTGGTGGGGTGTGTATGTGTGGGGCTGTTTGGGATGGATATTGCATGTGAGAGGCTGCATGTGGATTGTTAGTGGTGTTGCGTTTTTGCGGATCGTGTGCATGTTTGTGTATGGGCTGTTCATATTATTTGTATGAGGGGAGGGTATTCTGCATATCTGTGTATATCTAGCAGTGTGGGTTCCAGTGGGGACCAGGCTGGCCAGGTACAGGTCAAGGAGAGGAGATGCAACAGCAGCTGCGGGCTTCTCTACTCAAGTGCAGATTCTCATTTACAAGTGCTGGAATGAAGTGATCTGAGATCACTTCCTCTGTGTGCTGCAATGCATAAATTGAGGATTGTCCTTCACCATTTTTTCATATTAGCAGACATCTGAAGTTTCGCTGTGACAGCTGATAGGCCAGAGCCTATTTGGCTCTGGCAGCCTTGAGTGCCATGCAAAGACACCTTGAGTGCCGTGCATGGCACACGTGCCATAGGTTGCCTACCCCTGCACTATAACCACTTTATCTTTAATGAGTTATATAAAAGGTTAACTCCACCATTTTTCTTCTTAGGACATTTCTAAGCCTGAAGTAGACCAGATCCTTGACAGGTCTGTTTTTTCAAAGAGCTTACCAAATAACTGTTTTCTTCAGAAAAGATTTTGAAACTGTAAGTAGATCACAATAAACACATTTCCAAAGCATTGTTTATTAAGGAATGCATATATATGTACAAAGCAAATATAGTAACCCAACAAAACATTTGGTATTGGGTCTCTAGAATACAGTAGCATTTCTTTTCAATCATCATATGCAATAATATTCTCTTTCATTTGAACTCATTTGTTTTTGCAGAGAAAGCTCCTCTCTGACACATAATGTTTAAACTGTTACATGCTGAGATCTATAAAACCCCTGCAATAAGAGAGTAGACTTGCTATATCATTGTCCTTAATCTCCTCTCCACTCACTTATACTTATTTTAAATATTTTATGTGAGGGTGCCCCAGAGCCCCTAGTCAACAGAAGGGATGGGTTAGGAAGACATTTAGGACCACAGAATTGGTATATCCTTAGTATAGGGCCAGGGAATGAGGCAACCTCAGATTTAATTAGATTTAGGGCCAGGGGGCTGACCATTCTCTGACTATATTGTTAGTACGACAGAATACTGGGCATCTTTTGGTACATATAATTATGAATAGGGCTAGGAGATTGGACATGCTATGTCCCCTGTTTTTATAATTATACTCCCCACAAAGAGTGGATGAATGGTTAGGGGCACAAATGACCTCACCTTGTATGTCTGTGCTTCATTTTTCCCTCCTGTGCACTAGATAGAAGATAAGGGGAGGCCATAACTGTGGTTAATACTAGGAACTCTCTGCCAAGGCACTGAAACAACTTAATTTTCATGACACCACTATCCTAGTAAAACCATAGGTTTCACCAGATGTCACATTTACACCAAAAACATGCTTTATTACAGCCATTAAACCATAACTACATTCAGTAAGTAGCAAATGGCATTGCGGTTTATATAGTTTCCTATGGATTGATTTTGTGCTCGGCAGAAACTTTTACTACTTTATATCATGCCAAAGTTATGCCAATTATTATGTAACATATTTTGATTTAACTTTGCTAAAACGCCAAATTTGATGTTACGCTGTAGAAAATGAGTTGGTAGATATACGATTTTTTCTGTTTTGACCAGTGTCGGAATTGTGATTTATGTTTCATATACTGAATTTTATTAACTTTTTTCATTTTATCTGTTTGTTTCCTTCTGTTTTAAAAGCATTTAATGTGTTGTTTGATTTTTAATTTTATGTTGACAGGTGAAGTTCCCAGGGTGTTATGAAGAGGCAACATTAAAAACAAGTTGTGATTCTTCAAGCACAGAGTAAATGTGGAATATCAATTTCTATGAGTGCAAGTAAAATGTATTTATTATACCGAGTGTGAAGTGTGTACTGGTTTTAATTTGCTTGTTTTTATACATCACAATTATTTTTCTGGAAATTAAATACAAAACAAAACATACTTGCTTGGGATATTCTTTAAATCGGATGTCAGTAAATAATAATTTCCGTAGTGGCGCTCTGCCATGGGCTCATCAGCATTGTTCCTGGCTCTAATATCTGTTGATCTTGCCTATCTCTGACTATTCAGTCACATTAAACACTGCCACTTTAAGTAACAGTAATATGGTATTATTTATTTTTTTCAATTTGTATTTTATTGGAATTTATGCTTCCAAAATACGAGATCAGTGTATGAGAATATAGTAAAAGGTGTTACAGTATTACAGCAAATGTGGGGTATAAAGCGACAAGCACAGAATAGGTCTCAATTAGTGATATGATAATATTGTCTCATAACGAGTATGATAGAAAATCTACTGTAGGTAGATTGCCTATATGCGCCTAATCTGTTATGGCTAGGGTATAATAAGAGAGAGGAAAAGAGATGTGGGAAAACTCTCTCCCTATGAGTTCTTCTATCTAGGCAATATAGATTACTCAAGCTAAATACACAACCATGCAGGTGATTAAAAACCGATAAACAAAGGAAACAAAAAGATGTGGAACCGCTCATAGTTTGTACTCTGACATGATCTGATAATATGCAATGGGGTGGAAAGAGCCTCCTCCGTTTGTGCAGTGGGTATATGCAGTTTCTTTATAAATGCATCAGGGTCCCCAGTGGAGGATAAGGCGAGTGTTGTATCACACCGTATTCTGAGGGAGCCATCAACTCCCTGGCGGTACTTGATTGCGGCCTCTTAGCCGTCTGCCTATTGGAACCAGTTGTCTTCTCTTCAGCAATATAGCAAACGGGAGGTCACCATAGATTGCTATCGTGTACCCCTCTCTGGAGCAGAGAGTAGCAATGCTTGGATGGAGTCCTCCTTAAGATCCATGGAAGTAAGCATTCTCTGGATAAAAGTCAACAAGGCATCACCTCCAACCTTCTCTGGAATACCTCTGAGGAGGATATTGCTCTGACTATGCTTGGATTCAACAGATGTGACCATTTGGGTGAGAGTTTGGACCTACTGAGACCGGGCAACCACCTGGATTTATGCTTTCTGCAGCCTGCTTTTTCTGGCACCTTCGAACTGTGTCGATCCTCTGACAGAGCTCCGTTTGTGTTTCCTTAAGGTTTGCTTACCAAACCTTCCATAGGTCCAGTAAGAGGTTTTTAATGTCCCCTTTAGTGGCCAGAGAGGAGCTCTCATCAGAGTCGGACTCCTGATAAACTTCACTTGTTTGAGGCGAGGTAAGTGCCTTGCTCTATGACATTACAACAGGGACAGCATGGACCTCTCCCAACCAATGGCTGTTTGTGGCGCCAGAATAAGCATGGACCAATTTGATGAGGCTTTAGAAACAATACTGACTTATACTGCACATGCACATCTACAGTCTGAACCAAGCAGCTGCTGTGATCTATCCTACCACTTCCTCTGCTTCTTTGTCTTGTCCTCCTACCCCTGCACCATATATGACTCCTCCACAAAGGTACTCTGGGAATCCCATACATTGTTGTGGTTTTCTTAAAATCAGTATCCATTTCAAATTGAACCCATTTCCTATCCTACAGAAGATTGTATTTCTGATTAACCACCATCCTGATAAGGCACTTGACTGGTTAATCCTTTGTCTGTCTTTTTTTCTCTCTTTTATACTTTTCTTCATTATGAGTTAAAGAGTTAAATAGGAATTTCTGCAGATATATTTTTCTCTCTTCCACCGTTTTCTCTCTTTCCTTCCTTTTAGATTGACGCAATAGTTTTTGTAGTGTGTCAGCTGTACATTTTACTTCTCCCTATTAAGTTCAAACTAGTTGAATAATCACCATAAGAAAATTTACATAGACGAATAAAAATAAATAAGGTTGGTATATTTACAGAGTGTACCATGCTCCAATTGCTCCACTAGTTTCCACATGGGCTTTGGATATTGCATGCACCCTGTCTCCTTAGTCCATCAGGTATCTTCTCATCCCCACCGCCTGGTTTAAATTGAACCCCCTATCCTATCCTATCCTATCCTACAGAAGATTGGATTTCTGATTAACCACCATCCTGATAAGGCACTCGACTGAGTTAATCCTTTGTGGGTATCCGATATACCCATAGTGCATTATTATCTTCATTTCTCAACAGCCTTTAAGATAACTTTTTTTTTTCTTTTTTTAAATGCATTTTTTATTGAAAGCGTCAGACAAAAATAATGCAAAACATACTCTCGGTATCAATGTGTAGTTTCATCTACAATTGAATAGGCATTCGGAAATAGGAAAGTACATAAGGTGACATTTTCTTTTTCCTGTGAAATTATAACAGAACTAAACTAAACAGAAACATGCCTGCCAATATCCTGCCCATCTTGGCCCCACTGCCCAACCAAGAAAATCTTAGTGGTAAGGGTGATAGCAATAGACTGATCACTTCATATCCTAGTTCAAGGTCGGATTTGAATGTAAATGTTTTACGATCCCATGAACTAAAGAGAACTTTTGATCAACCTGGCCATGATCGTCCAGCAGGAGAAGCTCTTATGAGAAATAAACCAGGATCTTGTGCAGAATCAGATTACACCATATAATTAAGATCATTGCCACCTGAGGTGGTCTGGACCAACAGTTATCTAGCTACAGCCTTTCAACAAGGTTTAGCAGATAACATTTTGGATGAGATAGCCGCTAAAGACTTACCTAGTGACCTAAACAATTTAAATGATTATTGTATCCAAGAGAAGCATTCACACAGAGATAGACAAAGACACTTGTTCCTTTGTCATGCTCTGAAACACCCTTTATCAGATGTACTTGCCCTTCCTCCTCCTGAGCCTATGCAGCTAGGATTACCAAGCTGACAGAAGCAGAAAAGGCCTTCAGGAGGAGAGAGTTTATGCCTATTTTGTGGGCAAAAAAATTATTTAGGGAAGGAATGCCCTATCACTTCCACATAAGGCTGATTGGAGTAGGGGACCAGCCCTTTATGTCAGAGAACAAAACATCTCAGTAAAAGCCTTGACTGATTCTGGAGTAGCAGAAAATATCATCAATACTATTTTTGTCAGTTTCTCTCATTAAAAAGGCAACACTCTTGGCCATTAAGGCCATAGATGGTAGACCACTATTCACACCCCAGATTATCATAAAACTAAACCATTATCCATGAATGTAGGAGTTTTGCACTCAGAACAAATTGTTTCAGATTATTTCTTCTCCTTGTTCCATAGCAGAAGTCAGGGCTGGCAGTGGAGTAACGTAGTCAGTAAAGCAGGCAAAGGTCAGAGTCCAGGAAATCAGTCAGTAGTGAAGCAAAGATCCAATAGGAAACACCAAACAGGCAAATTTTTTTTTACCAGATTCTAGGTTTCGGGCAGGGCTGGCTTTTACAGCCTGCAAAGTAGATGCAGCTGACCCTAATTGGAAAAGGGCTACAGGTGGATCAGCACTGCTTAATCGAGGCAAGGGGTCAGGAAGCAGAATAATGCAAACAGAAACTAAACCCCCTGCTGGACAGTACGGCAGAGAACCTGACTGGGATGCTGGAGCTGTGAGTTCAAACCCAGCCAGGCCTCTTAAAGGGGCACCATGCCTTGCTGTCTGCAGGGCTCGGGCTGTGCTGTGACAGAGCCCCCCCAGAAGGGGTGACCTCCGGGGGCAAACTACAGGATCCAGTTCAGGCTCAGACAGGGAATCCAGGTCTGTATAGGCATCCGAATCATCAGGATCTGAGAGTGTTGGAACATTTTGCAGGTTGTGATTCTTCGAGAAGGCAGTGGAGGCAAGAAGGGGATGCAACTCTGGCCTTAAGAGCCTATTTAAAGGCATTTAGATCTTCCCTGCGGACCATGGTTCCATTGGAGGCAATTACACAGCCTGGAGACAGATCCTCTCTGTTGGAGCAGGAAATGTTAGGGGAGACAGAGGCTGGGGATTGGAAGGTAGCCACAGCAGCTTCCTTTTGATGCTCAGGAGCAGGGTTAGCCAGGGCTGTGATGGTGCCATTGGTTGGTTAGGTAGGTTTTCAGTCCAGTAGCATGCAGAGTTGAACAAAAAAGGGGCAATGGAGGACTTTCTGGATGGTGATACAGAGCCCCACACATGGCTATGTTTAGGGTGAGGAGGACGTATCGGGCAATAGCTGATGTAATGGCCTCCCTTGCCACAATAGAAGCAAAGGCCTTCAACTCTCCTTCTGGTCTTTTCATTTACTGTAAGCATGGGTTTAGTGCTCTAATCTGCATGGGTTCCTCTATATTCATGGTGAGGATAGGGGTATAGGTCTCACCAGCAGGTTGGGAGCATTGATCGGGCAGAGGGTTCGTCTCAAATCGCTCCTGCCTTCTTTCTCTGAAACGGCGATCCAGCTGGGTGGCTAGCACCATTAATTCTTCCAGGGAGGTTGGAACTCCCACTCGTGCCAGTTCATCCTTAAGGGTTTCAGTTAAACCAAGGTGGAATTGGTCCACTGGGGTGGTTTCATTGAGTCCAGTGTCTGATGACAAGCCACGGAACTCTGTGATGTAATTTTCCACAGGACGGTTTCCTTGTTTAAGGGAATGGAGAGAAGTCCTGGATTTAGAGGCACGGAAGGGGTCCTCATACAAGGAGGTCAAGGCTGTAGCAAAGGATTCCCAGGTGTCCAGTACAGGGCTTTTGGAATACAGCTGTTGATGAGCGCAGGTCTTGGGTTGCCCGGATAACAGGGTGATGACAGTTCTTACTTTAACAAAATCTGTGGCATAGGTACGGGGTTTAAGTACAAACAGGATTTCACAGTCTGTGATAAAGGAGTGGAAGGAAGCCCTGCAACCAGTGAATCTTTCAGGCAATGCAATATCAGGTTCAGGAGCATGGTGTGTGCTCCCCTTTAAATCAGCATAGCCACGCTGCAATTCACTTACGGTTTGAGACAGGAGGGTCACTTGCTGTGTGAGGGTACTCAGGACATTCATCATCTCCGCGGGCTCCATGGTAGTCGATCTGGTCATTATGTAATAGTTACCTGGGGACCTATGTAACAGTTTAACAGGAGTTGGAGCCCAGTTGCAGGAGATAGTACAGGGAGGAGGCAAAAACCAGAAGCACAGTACAGATTAAAGGGAAATCCAAAGGCAGGGTCAGACGAGAAGCAGAAGTCAGGGCTGGCAGCAGAGTAACGTAGTCGGTAAAGCAGGCAGAGGTCAGAGTCCAGGAAATCAGTCAGTAGTGAAGCAAAGATCCGGCAGGAAACACCAAACAGGCAAAAATGACCAGATGCTAGGTTTCAGGCAGGGCTAGCTTTTACAGCCTGCAAATTAGATGCAGCTGACCCTAACTGGAAAAGGGCTACAGGTGGATCAGCACTGCTTAATCCAGGCAAGGGGTCAGGAAACAGAATAATGCAATCAGAAACTAAAGCTCCCTGGTAGACAGCACGGCAGAGAACCTGACTGGGATGCTGGAGTTGTGAGTTCAAACCCAGCCAGGTCTCTTAAAGGGGCGGCCACACCTTGCTGTCTGCTGTGACACATAGGGTAATACAGTATAGAAAAAAGGGAAGAGAGGAGATAATAAAACTCACAATTGTAGAGCGCAAAAGCATGCTCTAACTGTAAAGGCTCCTCAATGTGGCCTGAGAGATGACCATGGCCGTCTTTATTCAGCTTCTCTTTAAAACAACACGCTTTTAAGACCTCTTGTTGCATCTAGCTAGTCCACACGCTGGGAAAGCAGGTCTGTTGCCAGAACTCCAGTGTGGCTTCTGACCAGCATGCAAATGTAATGACGCGTTTCGCCGATGACTCGGCTTCCTCAGATCTCCCTTCCAAATGTCCTAAATCTTCATTTAAACCCACAAATGTGGGCATGAGAGATACAAATCCACAGTCTATTTGATATATCTCTGAACTTCATTATATTGTAAAAGTCTCTTAGGAAAAAGGCAGAGCATTGTGGATACTGAGGAAAATATCCACTAAATATAAAAGTCCACAATTGCTATAGTCCAAATCTCTAATATTAGATGCATAAAAAGAGACCTGAAATGAGAATACAGAGGGGAATATCTGCTAGATGTGGGAAAATGGAAAAAATAAATAAATGTACAAACATAAAAATAACCACATATAAAGAAATATGTGTAAAATAAGAGCTACCTGGGGGGAGGCGGGGGTGGAGCCAGTGCTTGACTTGATCAGTCTCATACTCGCGGCTCTCCGACGATCAAAACCCCAAACAGTCTAAATTCTGCCCAAAAAGGCTACTGAATATTTTGCAAGAAGCCCAGCAGCACCCCAACACTGATTGGGAGAAAATCTAAAAAAACGCGCCCGGGTCGGCCTCGGCAATCCGTGGATATTGGCGATCTATTGAGGAGACCGCATGGCACGGCGGGGCCTAACATGGCAGCCGACATCGAGGACTACTCTGACAACTCGGACGACATACCCCTGCACTGTCCTGAGAATCTGGGATATCAAGGGCCGGCTAAGTCTGTACAGCCAACAGCCGACAGCCAACCCTGTCACCACCGAGATACTCACCCCTCTCCTCTCAGACCTGCACCAGACACTATCGGCGAAGATCTCCCAAGTAAGGGAGGATGTCAAGGGGTTCACCGCTCTCCTCACCACTGTGGAGCAGATTACCCAAACGCAAGCAGTGCAGGTGACAGAACTCCAGACACAGGTGAGAGAACTTACCTTGGCTCACACTACACTGACCCACCAACTAGCAGCCATGGAGGATAAAAGTAGAAGGAAGCACATTAAAATCCAAGGCCTCTCTGACACTCTGACCCCAGCTGAACTGCCCCATCTCCTCCGCAGGCTTTTTGCAACCCTGCTGCCCCCTAAGCAAGCAAAGGGGATACAGCTGGATGGCATGGTTCGCCTACCCAAGCCACCACAACTCACAGGCTCTGCAACAGGCAACCTCCTGGTCAAATGTCAAAATGGGCAAGCTAAAACAGCACTCATGGGTGCCATCAAGGGGAAGAACCCCTTCAGTTTTGAAGGCATGGACTTAACATTCTTCTCAGACCTCTCACGCACTACCCTGCAATGGCGAAAATCCCTTCGCCCGTTGACAACATCACTGGCAGCCAAAGGGGTGACGTACCATTGGGGACCATCACACGTACTCATTATACCGCATCAGGGAACTGAACATCGAGTAACTGTCCTGGCTGCATTGGGCCTCACGACCCCTCCGACTACTACAGCTTGAGACCCAGCCAATGTTGTCCCATTTGTCCCAACTCTCAGGAGGTTTACCCCTCCAATTTACCTTTATCACATTCAGACCTCTGACTCTACGTCATTCCAAGTCTACTGCACACACACGGCGGGCCACCCCCGCGGTCACCCATCACAGACACCGGGAATAACCCAAAAAAGCATATCATGTTGCCGTTGGGCTTGTTATAGCTGTCGTGGCTATCCAAGCAAGATGTAATGCTCGCACAACAAAAATAAAGAATGAATAAAAAAAAAAATAAGAGCTGCTTAGTATATACTATACATAAAAAGATCTAGACCAACTGTCTAATCCGTGATAATATGTAAGTATAATAGAACTAGACACCAACTATCAAGAAAAATTGCAACAATGTAATAAAAATGGTAAATGAAAGAGAGACACCATAAATACCATAATAACAATAAAAGTTAAGAAACTGGATGAATACGTAAACTATATAGAATATGACCAACATATTCAAGTAAAAGAGGAGAACTTCACCAGATACACTTTACATAAAAACATGTATCTGGTCTAATCCGTGATAATATGCAAGTGTAATAAAAAAGAAGGATCACCTACTATCTAAAAAAAATAGAATAAAAATAATTAATACAAAGAGGAACTCCATAAAATATTGTTATGACTATATAATGCGGGTATAACCACTTCAGATAAAAATGTATTCAATAGTGTAAAAAATTGGATGAATATATGGATACGAATTAAAAAAAAAATAAAAACAATATTATAAAAAAATTTAGAGGTCAAACTCTATATTTAAACCTTGTGATACTAAGGTTTTTAATTTATGTACCCATTTCATTTCTTCTCTACCTATTTTTAGAAGATGACTTCCACTTTTGTTCTGAATTTATTAATGCCCTTTAGGGTTTTATTTTTACTATATTTGCAACTAGAGCATTTGTTACAAGAATAAAAACCTTTTTGCCATTTAAAAATTGTCTTTATTTCTCTTTTTTGGGGGGGTTGTGGGTTAAAATTAAGTTAAAATTAGATGCTCCTCTAAAAGTTCTGAAGGGTTTATGAGGAATTAATTTGGCTAATTCATTATCTTTCTTTAACGTATGCCAATGTTTATTAATTATGGTTTTAATTTCACTGTGTTCTTCATTATAGTCAAATACTAGTGGGATCTTATCCATTTTATCCTTATTAGTTATCTCAATCTTTGGAGTAATAAGATCCTCCTGGTTTAATATCAAAGATTCTTCATACACTTTATTCACTATAGAAAGGAGAAGTGCAGCCACCTCTTCTTCAGTAGCCCGGGGAGAAAGTCTGAAGGGTAGGAAAGGCATGATCTACGTGTTTTGCCATTTAAAAATTGTCTTTATTTCTCTTTTTTGGGGGGGTTGTGGGTTAAAATTAAGTTAAAATTAGATGCTCCTCTAAAAGTTCTGAAGGGTTTATGAGGAATTAATTTGGCTAATTCATTATCTTTCTTTAACGTATGCCAATGTTTATTAATTATGGTTTTAATTTCACTGTGTTCTTCATTATAGTCAAATACTAGTGGGATCTTATCCATTTTATCCTTATTAGTTATCTCAATCTTTGGAGTAATAAGATCCTCCTGGTTTAATATCAAAGATTCTTCATACACTTTATTCACTATACTTTCTGGATATTGTTTTTTTTTTTTTTTTAAACCTAGCCTTTAAAAGCTGAGCTTGTACTTTAAAAAACTCTACTTAGTTATTTGAGTTAGGATTATTTAAAAAATATTTCTAACTCCGCCACAGAGGACAAAGATCTAGCTGACTGCCTCAATGAATATTTTTGTTCAGTATTTACAGATGAAAATAAAGGAAAGGGGCCTTAGTTAGTAAAAATAACAAATTAGCCATTTGTTACATGTGAGTTTACAGAGGAAGAGGTACAATTTGAACTGAAATATAGGACTCCAACTGAGACAGGACGAGGGGAGGAGATATTATTAGAAAAATAGACACTAAATGAGCGTTTGGAGAGATAAGAGGAAATCCACGAGACGACAGAGTCACAGAGACTGAGTGATTGAAGAGTTTGAAGAAGGAGAGCATGATCAACGGTGTCAGCAGAGAGTTCAAGAAGAATTAGTTTGGAGTAGTGGCCTTTGGATTTAGCTGTGATTAGGTAGTTAGTAACTTTGATAAGCGCAGTCTCAGTAGAGTGGAGAGGGTGGAATCCAGATTTAAGAGGGTCAAGTTGGAATTGAGGAAGTGAGACACACACAAGTTTTTCCAGAAGCTTTGAGGAAAAAGGGAGTAGGATGATAGTTAGAGGGGGAGGACGGGTCAAGAGATGTTTTTTTCAGGATAGGTACTACAGTGGCATGTGTAAGGTCAGCAGGGACAATGCCAGAAGAGAGAGCAGTTGAAGATGTGTGTTAAGGAAGGCGCAAGACAAGGGGAAAGAGATCTGATAAGGTGAGATGGGACAAGATCAAGCGGGCAAGTGGTGGGCCGAGAAGAAAGGAGAAGTGCAGCCACCTCTTCTTCAGTAGCCCGGGGAGAAAGTCTGAAGGGTAGGAAAGGCATGATCTACGTGTGGTTGAGAAAGAGAACGGCAAGGAGGGAGAATTCTTTCCTTAGCTGTTCCATCTTGTCAGTAATGTAACATGCAAAGCTATCGGCAGTGTAACACTTATTTTAATTGGAACTCAACTGCAGAATTTCTAATTGCAGTAACTGAAAGTTTGACCTCCTTTTATATGGATATGAAGGAGTGGTTACTGTCACTTTAATTACATATGTAGGATCTTAATTGAATAAGTAATAGACTGTTGATTTGTACAATACTCTTAATTCCTCTTTATTAATAATGCAGAGTTAGATTCCAGATTAATATAAGAAGGAATTTTCATAAGAAGACAATTAATGAAGCAGGAGAAGTTGCAATTATAAATGACTTGATTATTGGAGGAAGAGTTAGCCTTGTTAGCAGATCCTTAAGAAATAAGGAAGAAATTATTGAGAGAATGACATATAACTGTATATGATTTGTAACAGAGAGTGGCTTGATTGGAGAAAAGTTACTTAACTTAAAAGGCAGTTACTGGAACTGAAGGGTTAACTTCACCCGATGGTTGAGAAGGTAGAAGTCCGTTTTAGCAAGCCGTGGTCTAGGAGTGGAGAAGGTGGGAGTCCGTTTAACAAGCCGAGGTCTGGGAGTGGAGAAGGTAGGAGTCCGTTTTAACAAGCCGAGGTAGGAGTGGAAAAAGGTAGAAGTCCGTTATTAGAAAGCCGAGGTCTGAAACAGGCAGGAGCGTGGTAAAGCAGCTGATCACTTTGCACGCACCTGTGCAATAATCCAGCATTTTAAATCTGGCGCGGTCTTCCTAAGTACCGTGGAAGGACCGCGTCAGAGAAAGGGGCGGGGCTAAGTGCCGTGAACCCGGAAGTGGGTTCTTACGGCGGAATGCATGTCAGACTATACCTGACAGTACTCCCTTCTCATGGGGCATCCTCTGGGTGCACTTTAGTTCGGTTTGGAGGGATAACGTTTGTGAAAAGCAGCAACTAACCTCTTTGCATGTACATTAGATGAATCTTCCCAAGTATCTTCATCAACACCATAACCTTTCCATCTAATAAGATATTGTAAGGTGCCACGGTGGACACGTGAATCCAAAATTTTATGTATCTCATATTCCTCTTCACCCTGGACAATGATAGGTTCAGGAGTTGTTATCATATCCCTATTGAAAGGATCAGGGATGTGTGGTTTAAGCAAAGAGACATGGAATACAGGATGAAGTTTAAAACTTGGAGGGAGTTCTAATTTAACAACGTTATCATTAATGACCTCAATTACTTGAAAGGGACCAAGAAAAAGGGAGCTTAATTTCTTTGAAGGTCGGTTTGTGGCGATATTCCTTGAAGAAAGCCAGACCAGATCCCCTACTTTGTAAGGAGGGGGAATTCTTCTTTTATTGTCAAAAAACCTTTTCTTGTTATTTTGGGCGAATTGAAGATTTTCCCGTAATTTGAGAAATAGAGAGGACATAAATTCGTTTTTTGATGTAACAGTAGGATTGGATGAAATATTAATTTGGATGGGAAATGAAGACGGATGGAACCCATAGTTCGAGAAAAAAGGAGTCATTTTCGTACTAGAATGAATAGTGTTGTTGTAAGAGAATACGGCCATAGGTAACCATGTGGTCCAGTCATCTTGCAGGTATGAACAATAAAATCGAAGATACTGTTCCAAACATTGATTAACCCTCTCTGTTTGCCCATTAGTTTGGGGATGATAGGCGGATGAGAGTTTGCGTTGAATTTGAAGGGAGAGACACATCTCTTTCCAGAATTTGGGGGTAAATTGTGTCCCTCTATCAGAAATAATTTCTTCAGGAAGACCATGAAGTTTTACAATATTGTCTATAAAGACTTTAGACAATTCTACGGAGGAGGGTAATTTCTTTAAAGAGATAAAATGGGCCATTTTTGTGAAGCGGTCCACAACGACAAGAATAGTGGTGAAATGTTGAGATGGTGGAAGATCTACAATAAAATCCATAGAAATGGATTGCCAAGGTTTTTCTGGAATAGGTAAGTTAAGTAGTAGTCCAAAAGGTTGATTATGTTCGGGTTTGGACCTTTGACAGATAGGGCAAGTTTTGACATATAATTCAATGGTTCTATCCTGGCGAGGCCACCAACAATATCGAGAAGTTAGTTCAAGAGTTTTCTTAATCCCAGGATGTCCAGCTAGTGGTGAATCATGAACCATTTTAAGTAATTTATTCCTAAAAATAGGAGGGATATAAATTCTATTTTTAAAATAAAATATACCATCCTTTTTTGTTAATATAGGTTTTTTGGGAAGATCAAGATCCTTTTGATTCAAATTCTTTATGTCATCATGAAGAGAGGAGAGGATTCCAATTGTTTTGTTAGGAGGATAATCATTAATAGAAGTTTTATGAGGAATTCGGGAGAGGGCGTCAGCCTTTTTATTTCTAGTTCCAGGTCTGTATACTAATTTGTAGTTAAATCGGTTAAAAAAGAGGCTCCATCTAACTTGTCTAGCTGTAAGGGTTTTGTTAGTATAGAGATATTCAAGATTTTTATGATCAGTATAAACAACTATAGGGTGTTTTGTATCTTCAAGAAGATGACGCCAATTTTCAAAGGCGGCTTTAACACTTAACAATTCTTTTTCACCAATAGGATAATTTTTCTCAGCGGAGCTCAAGGATCTTGAAAAGAAGGCAACTGGATGAAGTGGATCTTGAGGTGTCTTTTGTTGAGAAAGAACTGCTCCGATAGCTGTGTCTGATGCATCTACTTCAAGAACATATAAGAATGTTGGATTAGGTAGTTGTAGAATAGGCGCAGTTGTAAATCTTTTTTTTAATTCAGTGAAGGCTATTTGTGCATCTTTATTCCAATTAAAAGGACGTTTACTACTGTTAAGGAGATTAAGTGGATGTGATACAGCTGAGTAGTTTCTAATAAATTTTCTATAGAAATTTGCAAATCCAAGAAATCGTTGTAATTCTTTTGTAGTAGTAGGAACAGGCCAGTTAATAATACATTCGATTTTGGAGTTATCCATTTTTAAAGAATGAGGTGAAATAATGTATCCTAGAAAAGAGAGTTCAGTAACCTCAAAAAGGCATTTCTCGGGTTTAGCGTATAATTTGTGAGTTCTCAATCTAGATAGAACCCATCTTACATGCTTCCTATGTTCATCTAAATTGTTAGAATATATTAAGATATCATCTAAATAGATAATAACACATACATCCAAAAGATCTCTAGAGATGTCATTTATAAAATGTTGAAATGTTGCAAGGGCATTACAAAGCCCAAAAGGCATCACAAGATATTCATAGAGACCATATCTTGTTCGGAAGGCGGTCTTCCATTCATCATCTTGTTTTATTCTAATGAGGTTATAAGCGCCTCGGAGGTCGAGTTTAGTAAATATAGTTGCGGTTCTTAATCTTTCAATTAATTCATTTATCAGCGGAAGAGGATAACGGTTTTTGATTGTTATTTTATTCAGGGCTCTGTAATCTATAATGGGACGGATGGTTTGGTCCTTATTCCTCACGAAGAATATACTAGAGGCAGCCGGGGAAGTCGAGGGTCTGATGAATCCTTTGCGTAAATTTTCATTAAGATATTCTTTTAAGGTCTGTAATTCTTTTTCAGAAAGTGGATAAATGTGGCCATAAGGAATAGGAGCTCCGGGTCTTAGATCTATTGGGCAATCATATACCCGATGAGGTGGAAGTGTTTCTGCTTCTTTTTTACAAAAGACATCTGCAAAATCGGAGTAGAATGTAGGTATAACTGGTTCTTTAGTAATTTGGAAAATAGGAACATGTTGTAAGCACGTTTTTTTACAAAAATCAGAGGAGAAGGAAATGGTGAAGGGGGACCATTCAATTAGAGGATTATGGGTTTTTAACCAGTTAATTCCTAGAATGACGGGATAAAGTGGAGATTTAATAACATCGAATGTAAGGAATTCGGTATGAATGTTGTTGGTAATCACTCTTAGAGGAATTGTCTCATCTTTTATGGGTCCTGAGGATATGAATGAACCATCAATAACTCTGATTGGAACAAAGTTAGTTTTTCGAACACAAGGAATTTTATTTTTTGTAACAAAGGAAAAATCAAGGAAGGTTCCATTGGCACCAGAATCAATTATAGCCTCAGTCACGATTCTTTTTGTATCCCACTGTAATATGAGAGATATAGAAAAATAAGTAGATGTTTTTCTTTATTGAAGAACGTTCAATATTGAAGTAGATGAATGATGCTTACCACCTTTTGAATGTTTCAGTAGAGGACAATCGGGAATTAGATGTTCTTTCGAGGCACAATACATACATAGGTTTAATTGTCTCCTTCTTATTCTTTCTTCAGAAGTAAGAGGACTTCTTATTATACCTACTTCCATAGGTTCAGTTTGAGGAGGAAATTTTGGAGGAGTGAAATGTTTTCTCCAGGTAGAATTAGTAAGAACTTTTTCAGCCCTTCTTTCTCTTAGACGTCTGTCAATACTAATGGAAAGTTGAATTAATGCATTTAAGGTGGGAGGAAGTTCAGTACGAGAGAGTTCATCTTTCACAGCTTCTGATAATCCGAGACGGAATTGATTGCGTAAAGTAATGTCATTCCATTGGGTTTCTGTAGCCCATCTTTTGAATTTTTCTTTTGCAATATAATCTTCAACAGGTCTATTCTTTTGGTGGAGAGTTCTGATGTTTAAATCAGCAGTAGCCTGTTTATAAGGATCTTCATATAATAGAGACATAGCTTCAAAGAATTCATTCAATGAGTCTAATATGGGATCATCATTCTCTAAAAAGGAATGGGCCCATGCCATAGGTTCACCTCTTAAAAAAGAGATCACTGAACAAACTTTTGATCTTTCAGTGAGATAAGATCTAGGTTTTAAAGCTATCAGAAGTTTGCAAGAATTCAAAAACTCTCTGTACTTTGTTCTATCTCCATAAATTTTTTCTGGATTACAGACAGCAGGATCGCCAGCCGATTGAAGAGCGGCATGAGGAAGATGACCTTGCATGTCTCTAACATAGGTTAATATTCTCTCATTTGTAATTTGCAGTTCCTGTAAACCCTGAGCAATCGTATCCACTCTATTGGTTAGGGCAGAAACTTGAGAGTTAATATCTGCTGGTTCCATTGAAAAGGCTGGATTATTCTGTAACACTTATTTTAATTGGAACTCAACTGCAGAATTTCTAATTGCAGTAACTGAAAGTTTGACCTCCTTTTATACGGATATGAAGGAGTGGTTACTGTCACTTTAATTACATATGTAGGATCTTAATTGAATAAGTAATAGACTGTTGATTTGTACAATACTCTTAATTCCTCTTTATTAATAATGCAGAGTTAGATTCCAGATTAATATAAGAAGGAATTTTCATAAGAAGACAATTAATGAAGCAGGAGAAGTTGCAATTATAAATGACTTGATTATTGGAGGAAGAGTTAGCCTTGTTAGCAGATCCTTAAGAAATAAGGAAGAAATTATTGAGAGAATGACATATAACTGTATATGATTTGTAACAGAGAGTGGCTTGATTGGATAAAAGTTACTTAACTTAAAAGGCAGTTACTGGAACTGAAGGGTTAATTTCACCCGATGGTTGAGAAGGTAGAAGTCCGTTTTAGCAAGCCGTGGTCTAGGAGTGGAGAAGGTGGGAGTCCGTTTAACAAGCCGAGGTCTGGGAGTGGAGAAGGTAGGAGTCCGTTTTAACAAGCCGAGGTAGGAGTGGAAAAAGGTAGAAGTCCGTTATTAGAAAGCCGAGGTCTGAAACAGGCAGGAGCGTGGTAAAGCAGCTGATCACTTTGCACGCACCTGTGCAATAATCTAGCATTTTAAATCTGGCGCGGTCTTCCTAAGTACCGTGGAAGGACCGCGTCAGAGAAAGGGGCGGGGCTAAGCGCCGTGAACCCGGAAGTGGGTTCTTACGGCGGAATGCATGTCAGACTATACCTGACAGGCAGTAAGGTTAGTTTGGGGGGTGGCCACAGCAGGGCGAAGAAGAGAATTAAAGGTGTCAAAGCGATGCCTGGGATTGCGGGAGCATGAACTAATGAGAGGAAAAGTATGACTGTTTGGCAAGGGCAAGGGCTGTGCTGTATGAGCACAATATGAATCTATAATGGAGAAAGTCTGACTGGGTGTGAGACTTCCTCCAGGAGCATTCAGCACAATGGGAGCATCTTTGCAGGTAGCGTGTTATGTTATTGGTTGTTAACTTTGTGTTGGAGTCCCCAGCAAGGTCCATGTGGGAGTGCTCCTTGTATGGGGACTTGCATAAAAGCCAGTGTGGCACCATTAAACTTATTACAACATTACAACATTCCTGTTGTACCCTTCATCTAATCTAGGCTGATGTTTGGGTAACTGTCTACTTGCTGGGGATGCTGCATTCGTCAGGAACCATTCAAATCTACACCCGATCTGCAAGCTATAATCACTCAGGCTTCAGCAGTTCGGGAGGAAATAGGGTATCCTATTCCTAAAAATAGGAGGGATATAAATTCTATTTTTAAAATAAAATATACCATCCTTTTTTGTTAATATAGGTTTTTTGGGAAGATCAAGATCCTTTTGATTCAAATTCTTTATGTCATCATGAAGAGAGGAGAGGATTCCAATTGTTTTGTTAGGAGGATAATCATTAATAGAAGTTTTATGAGGAATTCGGGAGAGGGCTCCTGGAGGAAGTCTCACACCCAGTCAGACTTTCTCCATTATAGATTCATATTGTGCTCATACAGCACAGCCCTTGCCCTTGCCAAACACTACCTTTTTACTATTTTGGCCACTTCTGCAGAGTACCACAGTGGTTTCTTACATTTTTTGCTTTTACTGACAAGCCTAATGCAATTTTCTGTTGCCTTCAGTAGTGCAATTTTTAAAATAATTCCATTTCCCTTGGACTCCAGTCTGATAATGACCCTTATACACATACTCTAAGTTTAGAAAAGTCTGTTTTTCTAAAGTCTAAAACTTTTGTTTTTGTGTGGTGTAACTCAGTCACTGTTCCTATATTAAACCACACTGATGGATAAACTGGATCCTAAACTTTCACCTACAGTAATATCTGATACCAAATCTCCTTTGGTAACATTTAATTTAGTATGGCCTACTTACGCATTGACTCCTCAACAATTTGTTTTAGAGACAATCCCAGTAGGGAGTTTAGAATATGTGTGCTCCTGGCACAAGCAGCTATTTTGGTTTTCCAGTTCACACCAGGAAGATTAAAGTCACCCATGATGATAACTTCCCCCTTCATTGTCATTTTAGCTATTTCCTCAACTAGTAGATTATCTAACTCTTCAATTTGTCCCGGGGGCCTATAAATCACACCTACCTGAATTACTGTGTGATTACCAAATTCTAATGTAACCCAAACAGACTCTATGTTTGCCTCATTAACTTTTATTAGGCTAGATTTTATGCTATCCTTCACATACAGGGCCACCCTTCCCCCTTTCTTGCCTTTCCTGTCTTTTCTATATAAAGAGCTAAGTCCCAGTCATTTTTCTCATTATACCATGTCTCAGTAACAGCGACTAAATCTACATTATCAATTGCCATTATTGCCACAAGTTCATGGATCTTATTCCCTAATCTGTGACCATTTGTAGACATGACTCTAATCTTATTTTTTAACACATTTGCTATAGGCACTTTTTGTCCTTGTTCTTGGGGGCAA